AGACAAATGTTTTGCATACAAAATCAGACAGCTGATTCATATCACTTATTCAGTTTTAGTAAAGGCCTTGTGAAATCAAAAATTTAAATGTAACTAATCTGACTATCGGTTCACTGAGAATCTGATTTTACTAATTGTTTTACGCTAAAAAGGTCCATAGCTAGTACAGTGAGCGACATTTATACACTTGGTACGTAAGGTCTCTTGATAAAAATACTCTTTTGTTTCTTTTTGGGATTATGTCAAGCATTTAATCTTTGTTCATAATGGACATTGGTCACTAGAAGCGCGCTTTATACCTGTTGCGCTACTGTTATTAGGTTTGTTCCTTTGTTTCTAAATGTCAAGGCGGTTATTAGTTACTGGCCATTTAGTAGCTCTTATTTAAATTTCCCTGGTTTTGCACAATTTTTAAGTGTTTCAGGATGCATCCATTTTGTGTCACTTATAGATTCTGTCATTATCCTACAACACCTAATTGGTTTACAAATGGTTTAGTGTTTTAATGTAGTAACCATACGTAAATAGACAAGTCAAATTTATGAATAACAAAAGAGCTGTTCTCTTAACACTTTATGTGTTGTTATTTCTGGGTAAAAATTGGGTTTTGCAAACAGTAACTGGACTCAGAATCGTTCAGAATGGCCCATGTACATCCAATCTCTCTTTATCTCTGAATATTGAATTTCAGTATTAACTCATGTATGAATTGATAGTCTACTGTCTTATACCCGTAACATCGATGTTCAGTCTCTCATTGTCTTTGCAAAAGCTTTTGACACAGTACCCCACGCACGCCCAATCATGAAGGCTGCGGAAACGGGCTTCACTGACCCATTCCTATCTTGGCTCAGAAACTATCTTTCGAATAGAAAGTTTCGTACTGATGTGAATATCATGAACGCTAGTTGGCCAGTCTCAACACCGGGAATTTCACAGGGAACCATCTTAGTTCCACTTCCCGATATTCATTAACGACCTGTTATACACAGCTCACCGGCATTGATCTAAGCGGACGACGCAAAGTTTTGGAGGTCCGTCAGAAGCGAGGGGGATCTGACTGAGCTTCAAAAGGACCTTACATCCATTGATGAATCGGCAATGAAAAACGGTTTAAAGCTAAACCAGCCGAAATGTCACGTCTTGTACATTCTGCCCCACATGACGCAAACAGTTTACACCTTCAATGAAAGTCCCCAACTTATGTCTCCTCAGAGCGCGAGAATTAACGAAATAAGGCTAATCGAGGCATTTTTTCTAACTACTTTTCATGAATTATCTTTGAGAGCAGTAATTCGTGTTTGGTAAATTATTAAGCGTCTATCGGTAAAGGTGTATAATACTGCTATATCAATAGATAACGTACTAACTGTATCAATGTTTGTCTCTCTCTCTCTCCTTAAACTGATATTATATTTTTCGTTGTATTTATTCTCGAATCATATTGTTTATATCTAACACTTTTCATAACCACTGGTACTGTTAGTATTTCTGTTAATGGTATATCCTACTTACATCAGTCAGTTAGCCAGCTGTAACGTATACACATCAGTCCAAGTTGCCATACCACATTAGCACAGAGAGATAGGATTTTCAGTTCAAATCCCATAATGGTAGAGGTAGTAGAAGTATTAGCGGTAATGTAGAATGTAAGGGTTCGAAGATTTTATTCAAGAAGTATAATTCAGCGATATAAACTTAAAAAGAGAAAAATGGAAGTGATGAGGAGTTCGAAAGATTAGGATTAGAGAGAAGGTAAAGAGTGAATGCACCTGCACGATTTTGAGCCATGTCGTTCAAGGTCTCTAACCATTGATTACTATCGTCTCGCGGGCCCCAACCAGGTAGTCTACACCTACTAACATGGATCAGTTCAGTTGTCAGTGATTTCATGAATATGTGCCATGTTTTAGTTTGGCTGCCCCCAGGCTTTCTTCCAGTCTACCCCTACTCCATAAAGCATGGCTCATCTATGTCTGCTTGCATAATTTCGTCTTGCTGTGCCAATGTGGTGTGTGAAACTCAACCATGTACATTTTTGCAAGGTTCCATCTTATGTAAGAGTGTTGGTTAGGGTTCACATAGTAATTATGACCAGTTGTTAAATGTGACTCTTCTAATTATAGTCCTAAATGCTTTTATATTACTTATGGTCAGTGGCACTACTGTTATTTCTAATGTCAAATTACAATTTTCGCTAATACACTTTTTGCGCCAGTGTATGTTGTGTATGATTAATTGGTCCGACTGATAAGTTGCATCATCACTTTTTGATGTAGGTTTGTCAAATAAGGATTTTCTGGTTTGTACACCTCACTGCTTCGTTTGACAATTAAGTTAAAACAGCTGGATAGCAGTGAGTGGCTGATTAGGACGTTTGATTTCCAACTGCTAAGTCACAAATACGACCTCCACACCAGCTATTGTGGTTTATGTAACCAGGTAGTATAACTAGTTGCTCACATGCTTAGAGTGTGAATCGGAGCCAGATTTACGAATCCGTACGTGGTAGACAATTTAATAGGTAGTGGTACTGGGCTACCATATCAATAAAGTCAGTCAGTCATTTACAACGTAGAACTTCTTACGTAAGTACATCAGTTCAGCTTGCCATACCTCATCAGTACAGAGACGCAACTGTCAGTTCAAATCCGATAGTGGTAGAGATAGTAGAAGTATTACTGGAAATGGAGAAGACTAGGGTTTGAAGATAGTATTCAAGAAGTAGAATCTAGTGAGATAAATTTAAAAAGAGAAAGATAGAGGTGATGATGAGTTCAGAAGACTAGAATTTGAAGATCACAGAGTGGATGCACCTGCGCCATAGCAAATGATTTCGAGCCGTGTCATCCAAAGTCTTGAAACACCGGTTACGATTGTCTCGCTTACTCCTACCTGGTAGTCTACATCAACTAATGTAGCTCAGTTCAGTCGTCATTGACTTCATGGATTTGTGCCATGTTTTGGTTTTGCCGCCCCCAAGATTTCTTCTAACCTACTCCTACACCACATCAGTAAATTGGCTTTAAGCAGTCTACATGAAGTTGAGAAAGCTATAGGAAATCTAAAGCGAAGTAGAGCAGCAGGTCTTGATAGGCTTACCCCTGAGATGTTTAAGGATGGTGGTCCAGTTTTAACATTTAGACTGACCGAGATCCTAGGTAGAATCTGGGAACTGGACGTAATCCCATCTGACTGGTCTCAGTCGCTAATTGTCCCAATCTACAAGAAAGGACAAAAGTCCTCTTGTGGCAATCACAGGGGAATAAGTCTAACTAATATAGTTTCTAAATTGTTAGTCTCGATTATACTTAGAAGTCTAACTAGAGCTCGTGAAGAGCAGACTCAAGAAAACCAGTCTGGTTTTCGACCTGGACGTGGTTGTATAGACCACATCTTCACACTACGACAGGTCCTGGAAAACAGAAGCACATTTAGACGTCCGACAATAGTCGTGTTCCTGGACCTAAAAGCGGCATTTGACTCAGTGGATCGTGAGGTCCTGTGGCAGTGCCTGTCATTGAAATTTGTATCAAAAAAGTATACTTAACTGATACAAGCTTTCTACTCGAACACCACTAGTCGAGTGAGAGCATATGGCGAACTGTCATCTGAATTCTCTACATCAAGCGGTGTCCGTCAGGGCTGTCCACTCTCTCCATTCTTGTTTAACTTTGTCGTAGACATCCTCCTAGTGTTAACGTTAAGCTCGTCAGATTTTTCAGGGGTTGACCTTCTACCTGGAAAATCGCTTACTGATCTAGAATATGCCGATGACATAGTTCTACTCGGTTTAGATGCTGACAAAAAGGAGAGTCTTCTGACCACCATAAGCAACAATGCGAGCATGTTCAGGATGCGGTTTTTCCCGTCGAAATGCAAAATGTCGCTTCAAGACTGGGTTGCATAGGCACCTGAACTAGTGATAGGGAGTGAAGTAGTCGAGCGTGTTGATCGCTTCACTTATCTGGGGAGTCTCATCAGCGCTGATAGCCTGGTGACTGACTAAATCTCAGCGCGGATGCAGAAAGCTCGATTGGGTTTTGCCAACCTGCGTCACTTATGGCGTAGGCGTGATATCCGTTCGCTAACCAAAGGACGAGTGTACTGCGCAGCAGTTCGCTCGGTTCTCCTATATGGCTGTGAAACATGGCCGTTAAGAGTAGAAGATGTTCGTAGGTTACTAGTATTCGATCATAGGTATCTTCGAAGCATTGCTCGTATATCGTGGGAAAACCGAGTAAGCAATGCTGTCGTTAGGAAACGGGTGCTAGGTAAGAATGGTAGATCAATAGATGAAGTGTTGAGACTTCATCAGTTGAGGTGGTTGAGACATGTGTTATGTATGCATAACCACCGACTGCTTCGACGAGCTATGTTTAGTGGTGTAGGAGTAGGTTGGTAAAAAGCTAGGGGCGGCCAAACCAAACCATGGCACAAATCCATGAAGTTTTCGACAAGTGGACTGAGTCATGTTGGTAGATGTAGGCTACGTGGTTGGGGTCCGCGAGACGAAAGTCACCAATGGTTAGAGACCTTGAACGACATGGCTCAGAATCGTTTGCAATGGCGCAGGTGCATCCACTCTTTGTGTTCTATGAAATTCTAAGCTTCTGCATTCCTCATAATCTCTATATTTCTCCTTCTAAATTTATCTCACTGAATTATACTTTTCGAATCATATCTTCGCTCCCTAATCTTCTCCATTACTGCTAATACTTCTATTATCGCTATCACTCTTGGATTTGAACTGACAGTTACGTCTCTGTGCTGACGTGGTATGGCAACCTGAACTGATGTACTTATGTACGAAGTTCTGCGTTGTATCTATCTACACCTTTTACTGATAAATGATTTTCAAACTGTGCTAAGTCACATGAATTCACTGACACCTTCTGCGTACCTCTTTTACATTCTGTCTTATTACAAATTTTATATCAGTTACATAAATTTGTTTGTAAAATAAAATACTACTTATCGCTTTTTTCTCTCTCTCCAGCTATAAGCTTAATTTTTTTCTTAAAAATAAAACACAACATTCATGGAATCAAGAGTAAAAGATGCTGTTCAACGTTTAGATTTTCTTCATCAACAACTTATTCATTATAAACCATTACTTAATCAAAATGTACTAAATACTGCATATGAAATTCAATCGAATTTTCATAAATTCATGAAATTATTAACTGAACGACAAACAAACTTATTGGATCAATTACATGAATTGGCTAACAAGAAATCAATGCTAATTGAAAGGTGACTGTTTTTTCTGTTTGTCTGTTTTGAATTGTGATACACTTACATTGTTTATTAACTTTTCATGGAATTGACCTTCTACTGAGAGGAGATTTGCTTGTTCATTTGAAAGAATATACTGATGTCATAGTTCTGTTTCGTGATTGACAAAATACAGCGTCTTATGACCACCTTAAATATGTGTAGAATGCGATACTCCTCGTCAAAATACAAAATGTTATTTCAGAATTGGCTTGCGTCACTACCTGAACTAGCGATAAGGAGTGAATCAGTTGAGTGTGTTATCTGGGGAGTCTCATTAGTGTTGATGGCCTGGTGACTGACGAAATCTCAGCACAGATACAGAAGGATCGATTGACTTTTGCTAACCTGCGCCATTTATGGCGTAGGCAAGATATCCGTTTGCTAACCAAAGGACGAGTGTACTGCGCATCAGTTCTCTCTGTCACTATTCTTTGTGTGTGAGACATGGCCACTAAGAATAGAGGATATTCGTGGGTTACTGGTTTTCGACCATAGGTGTCTTCGAAGCATTGCTTGTGTATCTTGGAATCACCGATTAAGCAATTCTGTTGTTAGGAAACGAGTACTAGATAGGGATGAAAGATCAATTGATGAAGTAGTTAAACTTCGCCGACTGCCTTTGTGAGCTATGATGCCTGGTATAGAGGTTAGGTTTGAATAAAGCTAGGGCCGACCAAACCAAAACATGGTGCCAATCCATAAAGTCACTGACAAGTGGACTGAGTCATGTTGGTAGATGTAGAGGCTACCGGGTTGGGGTCCGCGAGATGATATTAATCGATGGTTAGAGACCTTGAAAGAAAGAAAGGGCTGAAAATCGTTTGTAATGGTGTGGATACATCCATTCTTTGTGTTCTCTCAAATTCTAATCTTATTAATTCCCTACGACCATTTTAAAAGTTGATTCCCCTGGGATATACTTCTCGAACCCTAATCTTCTCCGTTACTGGGAATACTTTTACTACTTCTACGACTATGGAGGTATTTTATTGACACTTCCATATCTCTGTGTACTAATCTGGTATGGCAACTTGAACTAATGTACGTACGTACGAAGTTCTACATTGTAGCTGACTGACTGGACTGACTTTCGCCTAATGCCAATAGTTTCTCCCTTATTGTTTTCCTCTTATTTCTACCAAAAAAATTCAGTAATCAACATACAATTGAATCATTAAAAACTGATCTACTCCAGTCCTATTTTACTCGTAATGCAATTGATGCCAAAATCAATGAGTACATTAGACAAATTGAATCAATGAATTCTTATTACCTATCCGATTCTACAACAACACCATTGATTACGTTTCATAGTGAAAATATCCAATTAAATGAAATTATTTCAACATTTGGTCAATTGACATCGAAATATGCAAATCATTTTAATGTACCCAATGGATTACTACAACAACAAGAAGACAAAGAAACTGAACAAAGAATGAATGAGAAGGATTTAGGGGATGCATCCCCAATATTCCATTGTATCCAGTCATCATCGTCGTGTGTCTGTCAGAATCCGACATTAAGACAATGGTTATCATTAACAGAGGAGCATCAATGTCAACAGTCTCATTCATTCAATAGAAAGGATGAAGAAGAGAAGAGAACAAGTTTGAATATGCAAAATAATTATGTATGGTTGAATAAAAAGTTGTCGGTGAGTGTGTATTCTTTTTTGGGTGTGTGTGTATGTGTGACTTTTTTACTCAAGATTTCCGTTGTTTGCCTTCTTATTTATATATGTATAGTAAACTCGAATTGATTTTAGTCAATTGAGGAAAACAATAAATCGCTTTGCACAGTGAAATGAAGTTATCAAAACCAATCGCAGAATAGTAGAAGTAGTAACAGTATCGCTGGTCAAATACCAAATGCTTCTCGGTTTTCCCCCTCGAAATGCAAAATGTTGCTTCAAGATTGGGTTGCATCGGGACCTAAACTAGTGATAGGGAGTGAAGTAGTCGAGTGTGTAGACCGCTTCACTTATCTAGGGAGTTTCATCAGTGCTGATGGCCTGGTGACTGACGAAATCTCAGTTCGGATGCAGAAAGCTCGATTGGCTTTTGTCAACATGCGTCACTTATGGCGCAGGAGAGATATCCGCTTGTTAACTAAAGTTCGCTCTGTCCTATTATACGGATGCGAAACATGGCCGTTAAGAGTAGAGGACATTCGTAGGTTACTAGTCTGCGATCATAGGTGTCTTCGAAGCATTGCTCGTGTATCCTGGGACGACCGAGTAAGCAATGCTATCGTTAGGAAACGAGTTCTAGGTAAGGCTGCGTATGCATAACCACTGACTGCCTTGACGAGCTATGTTTTGTGGTGTAGGAGTAGACTGGAAGAAAGCTAGGGGTGGCCAGACCAAAACATGCACAAATCAATGAAGTGACTGACAAATGAACTGAGTGATGTTGGTAGATATAGGCTACCTGGTTGGGGTCCGTGAGACGAAAGTCCCCGATGGTTAGAGACGTTGAACGAAATTGCTCAAAATCGTTTGCAATGGCGTGCTGGTGCATCCACTCTTTGTGTTCTCTCAATTACTAACCTTCTGAATTCTTCATCATCTCTATCTTTCTCTTTCTAAATTTATCTCACTGAATTATACTTCTCGAATCATATCTTCTAACCCTAGTCTTCTCCATTTCCAGTGATACTTCTACTATCTCTACCACCATTGGATTTGAACTGACAGTTGTATCTGTGTGTTTATGTGCTATGGCAAGCTGAACTGATGTACTTACGAACGAAGTTCTACGTTGTAACTGACTGAACATCTGCAACTCAAAACAACTATCAGCCAACATCAAAGTCAGAATTTTCAATACGAATGTCAAAACGATATGGTTCGGAAACTTGGAGAACTACGAAAGCTATCATCTAGAAGATATAAGTTTTCGTTAACAGTTATCTACTCCAGAAACATTAGATCCGTTGGCCAGGCACTATCAGCAACAGTCTACTGTGAGAGAGAACAAACCGGATTCCGACACAGGAGAAAATTAGGAAGAAGCGCTGGGGGTGAATAGGACACAAACCCAACTGTGTCACAAGACAAGCCGTCACTTGTAATCCGCAAAGCCAAAGAACACAATACGCCGACGAGAAACGGATACTTACATGAGAACTGTTAGGATATTCATCCAGTATCCTAAGAGAATTAATGGTCAAATCCTATTGGTCGATTTCTATTGGTCAAAATTATGGTCGTTATAACTGTCAAAGTCAAATACTTCAATGTTGTCATCCGGACTGTCAATGTCATTTCAAATGTTACTTCTTATTGGTCGTCTTAACTGTCAATGCTACAGAATTCGACGCTGTTTCACATGTCCGAAAAATGAAAATTTCGTAACTGCGAAAAAATCATTACCGGACTTGAGATGAAGAGTGTCCGGGCCTGTCCGTATCAAGCTGAGCTGCCCCTTCTACTATATATATGTGTACACCATATGCTATGCTGCTATTTAGAGCTGAAGGTTTCCTATAGAGACCAGAGGTTCGTTGTGATAAAGATTGTGGATGGCTTGGTATTGCTTTGGCAAGCATTGCTAACGGTCCATATACAAAAATTGGTTAGCATGGTGATCGATTTGATTGATACTAGTGGTTGTTTAGCAACATTCCCGATGGCCATTGTCTTTGGGACGCGCTGAATTGCTGCATATCACGATTGCTAATATAATAATGAGTTTGACAATCATGTGTAAGTGGGATGGGTCGAAATAGTCTGTTCATGCTTTGCATATTGATTGACAACGCGATCACGGATCGGAAATAATCACTGTATATATATATACTAGTGTATATATATATGAATGATGTGACAGATAGACAGATACAACTCAGAACTTCGTACGTAAGTACATCATTTCAGGTTGTCATGCTCCATCAGCACAGAGACGCAACTGTCAGTTCAAATCCAAGAGTGATAGCAATAATAGAAGTATTAGCAGTAATGGAGAAGATTAGGGAGCGAAGATATGATTCGAGAAGTATAATTCAGTGAGATAAATTTATAAGGAGAAAGGTAGAGATTATGAGGAATGCAGAAGCTTAGAATTTCATAGTACGCAAAGAGTGGATGCATCTGCGCCATTGCAAATGATTCTGAGCCATGTCATTCAAAGTCCCTAACCATCTTGGATTTGTGCCATGTTTTGGTCTGGACGCCCCTAACTTTATTCCAGCCTACTCCTACAACACAAAACATAACTCATCGAGTCAGTCGGCCGTTAGCCATACATAACACATGTCCCAACCACCTCAACTGATGTGAATGGTCTATCAAGGTGTCAAGTACCTCCTATGTGGTGATGGTGGTTGCACTAAGCGATTGCATCTAACTGTTCACATTGTAATGCTAACACATGATGAACAGAGTCTCCTTAGTTCTCATTTTTTTAAATCCAATGTCGAAATTACCCTTTGACAATATATATATATATATATATATATATATATATAGATTGGTTAATTGATCTGATAATAAAAATTAAGTGTGTAAAATGGATTATTCTACAAAAGGAGATTTTATTAAAACTTATCAATTTGTTCTAGTTAATTATTTCACTTTGAATCGATTGATTGATTGATTTTTCTGGTGACAGTTTTCAGCATGATAAACGTGCTTTTTTTTGCAGGAAAAACAATCAATACCAAATCAGTTTCATGCCGATAATTCACCATCAACCAATACAATTGCACGTTTAACACCATCATCATGTTGTTTGAATCAATCCAATTGCATGCTTATTCATCATCGTCATTGGCTTAAATCAGGTGATAATCAGCCGATGACCGGAACAGCTACATCTTGCCTGAAAGGAGAAGCAGAAGAAGGAGGCGAATGCGAAGGCGTAGAAGAAGAAGAGGAACTTGAATTGAATAGTAATAATAATAATAAATTCTCTCAATACTCAAGTATGTTCAAATGATATTAGGGAATTTACTGATTAAATCTCATGATCTATTGTATTGTATTGTATTGTAGTGATTAACAGAATGTTTTTTAATGTGTATTTTGGTGGTTTCTGTGTTGTTACTCACTGGTTTAATTATTTTCACTTGTCACCCCCCCCCCAATGCAGCATAGGCCGTCAACCTGTGTTCTCCAAACCTACCATGTCCTGAGCTGAGCTTCCCTTTCTACTCGATCACCACTAGTCGAGTAAGAGCCTATGACGAACTGTCATTGGAATTCTTTAGTTCAAGTGATGTCCGTCAGGGATGTCCACTTTCCACATTATTCTTCAATTTTGTCATAGATATGCTGCTAGATATAATATTATCTTCATCTTAATTTTCAGGAGTAGACCTTTTACCAGGAGGCTTGCTTATTGACTTAGAATATGCCGATGACATAGTTCTATTTGGTGAAGACGCTGACAAAATGCAGTCTTCTAACCACCTTGAGCAACAATGCAAGCATGTTCGAGATGCGGTCTTCCCCCTCGAAATGCAAAATGTTGCTTCAAGAATGGGTTGTATCGGCACCTGAACTAGTGATGAGTGAAATTGTCGAGCGCGTTGACCACTTCACTTATCTTGGGAGTCTCATCAGTGCTGATGGCCTGGTGACTGACGAAGTCTCAGCTCGGATACAGAAACCTCGATTGGTTTTTGCCAACATGCGTCACTTATGGACTAGGCAAGATATCCGTTTGCTGACTAAAGGACGGGTATACTGCGCAGCAGTTCACTCTGTCCTAATTTATGGCTGTGAAACATGGCCAGTGAGAGTAGAAGATATTCGTACGTTACTTGTTTTCGATCATAGTTATCTCTGAAGCATTGCTCGTGTATCGTGTGGGACAACCGAGTAAGCAACTGTGTTGTTAGGAAACGGGTGCTATGTAAGGATGGCAGGCTATTAGATGAAGTAGTGAAACTTCATCAGTTGAGGTGGTTAGAACATGTGTTGCGTATGCCTAACCACCGACTGCCTCGTCGAGCTATGTTTTGCGATGTAGCAATAGGTTGGACGAAAACTAGGGCGGTCAGACCGAAACATATCACAAATCCATGAAGTCACTGACAAATGGACAAAGTAGTGTCGGTAGGTGTCGACTACCTGGTAACCGATTGTTAGAGACCTTGAACGACATGGCTCAAAATGGTTTGCGATGGTGCAGATGCATCCACTCATTGAGTTCTCTCAAGTCCTAACCTTCTGAACTCGTCATCATCTCTATCTTTCTCTTTTTAAATTTACGTGACTGAATTATAATTCTTTAAACCGTAATCTCTCAGATTACTTCTGACACTTTTACTACACCTACTACTATGGGATTGTAATTGACAATTATATCTCTCTGTGCTGATATGGTATGGCAACTTGAACTGCTGTACTTATGTGCAAAGTTCTACATTGCTTTTCTTCTTTGACTTCCCTCAAATTCTAATTTTCTGAAGTCTTCATGACTTTTTGCGCTTTTTGAAGAATCATATCTTCTATCCATAATCTTTCCCATTATCGCTAACACTTCTACTACCTGTACTATTATACAATTTGAATAAACGATACAATTTCTCGGTGCTACTGTTGTAGGGTAACTTGAACTAATGTACGTATGTACGAAGTCCTACATTGTGAATGACTGACTTGACTGATCGTCAAGCGTGGAGAAAGCTCGTTTCGCCTCTCGAAATCTTATATGGCCATATGTGTATAAGAGACTGACTGCCTTGTCACTCACTGTACAGTGGTATTGTTCATGAAGTTGATAGAACAAAAATCATCTGTCCCATCAATGTTTAAACGAGGCTAGTGGGTACCGACGATTCACCGACACGAATCGGGAAATCCTGATTCCAGAAAGTTAACAAATGACGCATGAGCCTTTTTGTTGGTCATCAATACCGATGGGTCTACATCTAACTTTTCACCACTAGCTTGTGGATGAGACATGTAGGTGAAAGGCTCAGGGATTGGTTCCTTAGAGAGAAACCACCACATTCAATTGGAGCACCTGAACACCGTCCTAATCAGCGCACCACACAAATTCATTGTTTTGTATTGCGCATAGATATTTAAATGATTGTTTGTACTAATGTTTATTTGTTTAAATAAGTAAACAGTTCATTATAATCATCACTACTACTAAAATATAAACAAATCAGTTTAAAAATAGAGGTGAACTTGAATGTTGAACACACACACACACACTAGATGGATTGTTTGTTTTTAGTTTGTCGCATTAAAAAAAAACGTTTATTCTTATACTCTGTTACATTCTTTCTTGTCTACCAATATTCTTTCAATCATTTGTTACATATTGTTCAATCTGTTGATGATGATGTAAGTTGTTAGAATAAGAATGAATTCAGTCAGTCAGTTGTAACGTAGAACTTCGTACGTATGTACATCAGTTCGTGTTGCTATACCACATTAACACAGAGACGCAAATGTCAAATCAAATCCCATAGTGATAAAGATAGTTGAGGTATTAATGGTAATGAAGAAGACTAGGGTTCGAAGATATTATTCAAGAAGTATAATTCAGTGAAATAAGGTTAGAAAGACAAAGGTAGAGGTGCTGACGAATCCAGAAGACTAGGCTTTGAGAGAGCTCAATGAATGGATGCACTTGCGCCATTGCAAACGATTCTGAGTCATGTCATTCAAGGTCTCTAACCAACGGTGACTTTCGTCTTGCGGACCCCAACTAGGAATTCGACAATTACCGACATGACTCAGTCCGCTTTTCAATGACTTCATGGAATTTTGCCATGTTTCGGTTTGGCCGCCCCTAGCTTTCTTCCAACCTACTCCTACACCACAAAACAGCTCATCGAGGCAGTCGGTGGTTAGGCATACGAATAAATTAGATATAAGACAGTTGAAATATAAAAATTTTATACAGAATTTACAAGAGACAATTCTTGATTTGTTTATCAGTACTGTTGTTTTTTGCATGATGAGGTTGTGGAGATTGTTGAGTTAACTTTTTGAAATTATGAATTGAACAATGCGTCCCATGCCCAGGACGAAATGGCCGTCTTTGAATGCTTCCTGGTTTCTTTCTAATGATGGTCTAAATATTGATCGATTTATGATTTCAACAAAGCGACTCAACAATCTCCACAACCTCATAATGCAATGACCTGTGTTCATTAGTGAATAGCTCCGTGAGGAATCTTCGGGTGCTACAGAGAAGTTGTGACCAGTAGAGTTCAACCCTGTTCGAGTATGAAGGAGTGCTTGCCGAAGACAGTGATTGAGGTTGTTCAAGACTGTGCTCAGGTGTCCAGAGGTTATGCGTTCGCGCGCAAGATCGAAGGTCCTGGGGTCCGAATCTTGCGAGGCGCAGGAGTCGTGGGTACATACTGAGTCCCATACCAGGATGAAACAGCTGTGCTTCCAGGTTTCTTTCTAATGGTGGTCTAGCATTGACCAATGCATGACTTCAACAAGTAACTTTTGTGTGTCTTACTTAATTTTACTTAAGCTTATCAGCTCTAATGAAGCGTAGTCCGCCGACCAGCATTCACTAACGACTAGTTGAGTAGCACTGGATTAATTAATGTGTTTAGATTTAATCTCTAACTGAGTATTCAGTGGTTAGCATTTTATTGTCAAAAGATTAAAGGACTTGCTACACTATATAATATATGACGTCAATCATTATGTGACCATCGGACACGAACACCTTATATAATAGATTATGTTTGTCACAGATTTATATCAATGTATAAGCAAGAGCCTTGATATCTAGCAGCAACTTTAATCAGTTTGTGATAGAATGCGTCCATCATCCCGAATCCTTAAATGACAACTGTTTCACTCCTGGTCATGAATTCTCTGTAGATCTCTAGGTATGCCTTGAAGTATGTCACAAATGAGCTGAGGAATCTCATACTAAAATGAGACGGCTGTCCAGTGATTCGGTTCATAGTTTCCAATAATCCTCCATCTGAGGTCATTCTATGATGAATACATAGCTATCGAATTGAATCGACCTCCGCAAAACACCTTCAATGCGTGGAGAAAACTTGAAGCTCAGGTGGATGATTGTGGTGGTGTTTCGTTCTCTGAGCTGGTTGTTTTGGTTGTGGAGCTTTCATAGGTGACACAGGATCAAAAGGGGGATGCAATCAAAACAAAGTTGCAAACAACGACAGGTCAAAGGTCAACAGCAACCAATCAAGATCGAGGTTAGCAGAACAAGCTATAGGTCAAACATGGAGAAATTCGAATGCTTCACTTCTATCTGAAGTTTGTGCTGATGATGTTGTTCAGTAGAAGAACAATGAAAGCTCCACAACCAAAACATCCGCAGCTCAGAGAACGAAACACCACCACAACCTTCAATGCGTATCTAATGTTTAGTTGGTTTTAATTGTTTCTAGAATTTTCTCCAAACTATCTAACTATTATGAATTAGTGAATGAGTTACACTTTATCAAAGTATTTGCATGCTATTTATCTTATCTTATCTAGATAAATCTACTTCGGGCAGTTTTGATATTTTGACAAATTCATCTCAAAATATATCCAATTTTAAAGATTGGTTATTCTGTGATCCGGTAAGTTGGCGTTTTTTGTTCTTTGTGCGTTTGCCGGTCTTTTTTGATTTTGATTTTGTCTTGCCGTTATTGTTCTGTTCTTTGTAAGTCGAAATATTCTCCTTGAAATTATTGACCACATGTACAGCAGTGCGCATCCATGACCCCCGTGCACTTGGGAATTGAACTAGGAGCTTTCGATCTTGTGCTGAGCCAGCATTCAACGGTATTTGTTAGGGGGACATAGATGGAATAAAGCGTGACGACGTTGCTGCGCGCTGATTGGCTAATTTCCATATCCAATCAGCGCCTGATCGATTCTTGGAGAACAGGGTAGAAAATTCTCGTGTTGTTAGCTGCAATCTGATTGGCTAAATCTAATCCGGTCGATCACGTGAATAACTAACCAGAAGCTTCTCATGTAAATACTGTAAAGAAACTAACTTCAATCAATTCTCGATATTACGCGACCATCATCGATTGATTGTCTTCAGTGGGTGAACTCCACAGGTTCTCATTAGAACTACGAGGATTCATTCACAAAGCTAATCATAACTGAGCATATTTATTAAACTTTGTACAAATTAAATGTCAAGAAACATTTGTAATCATCATTGTACAAGTTGTGTAACTTTATTTCAATCATAAAAATGACCTTGTGAATGAACCAATCGGAGTATAATATTTGTGTGCGTTATTCAAATGATTGTACGTTTGTGTTGAACCTTCAACACAAGTGGATTTATGTCGGTTATGCAGATTGATTGACTGCCTGACACACATGTTAACGTTTAACCAATAGAATTCAAGTTCGTATTGTCCTCCTCTCTGCGAATACAATTTGAAAGACGACCAAACGTATTCTCCGACCTCTTCTGTTCTTGGGTCTAACGATAAAAGTAAATGCTTACGTTCATATAAACAATGTGTATGACTCAATGATGTACTTGATATGAATAAATTCTATCTCAAAAATTACTTAACTCTTATCGATTCATCTCTAATGGCTTGTTTGCATTATACAATTATGGAGATTGTTGTTTTTTAATTACTGAATTCGTGAATCGATCAATGTTAGACCACTTTTGGAAACCTGGAAGCAGTGAGAGATTGTCGTTTCGTCCTGGTGTGTGGGACTCATCAGTTGTGCGCATTCATGATCACTACACTTATCTGGGGAGTCTCATCAGTGCTGATAGCCTGGTGACTGACGAAATCTCAGCGAGGATACAAGAAGCTTGATTAGCTTTTGCCAATTTACGCCGTTAATGGCGTAGGCGAGATATCCGTTCTCTAACCTAGGGACGAGTGTACTGCGCAGCAGTTCGCTTCGTTCTCCTATATGGATGCGAAACATGACCGTTAAGAGTAGATGTTCGTAGGTTACTAGTATTCGATTATAGATGTCTTAGAAGCATTGCTCGTATATCGTGGGACGATCGAGTAAGCAGAGCTGTCGTTGGGAAACGAGTACTAGTTAAGGATGGCAGATCAATAGATGAAGTGGTGAAACTTCATCAGTTGTGGTGGTTGGGTCATGTGTTACGAATGCCTAACCACCGACTGCCTCGACGAACTATGTTTTGCAGCGTAGGAGTAGGTTGGAAGAAAGCTAGGGGCGGCCAGACAAAAACATGACACAAATCCATGAAGTCACTGACAAGTGGACTGAGTTATGTCGGTAGATGTAGACTACCTGGTTGGGGTCCGCGAGACGAAGGTCACCGGTGGTTGGAGACTCTGAACGACATGGCTCAGAATCGTTTGAAATGGCGCAAGTGCATCCATTCGTTGAGCTCTCTCAAATCCTAATCTTCTGGAATCGTCGTCACCTCTTCCTTTGTCTATCTAACCTTATCTCACTGAATCATACTTCTTGAATAATATCTTCTAACCCTATTCTTCTTCATTATCATTAATACCTCTACTATCTCTATCACTGGGGTATTGATTTGACATTTGCGTCTCTGCTACTGTGGTATGGCAACATGAACTGATGTACATACGTACGAAGTACTACGTTACAACTAACTGACTGACTGACTGACTGACTGACTGCACATTCATGACTGCTGCTACTCGCAATATCCGAGCCCAGGACCTTCGGTTTTGTGCGCCTTGCCTAATCTCTGGACCATTGAGCCGACATCCGACGGTGTTACTATCTAACTCTGATCAATCTAAGAATTTTGTTCGCCGTCACCCATTTGTCCTAGGTAGTTACTGGCTACATCCGACAGGGTTGCACTCCCCTGGTCACGTCTTCTCATTAGAACTCCGAGAACTTCATCACAGAGCTAGTCACTAGTGATAGTATGCATTGAAGTAATAGTGTTTGGTGATTGTTCGGATCGGTGACATGTATGATTGACAAAAGTCTAGCTGACTAAGGGTCTCTGCTCATGAGAGACTGAAAACAATTGATTTAAACCGCTTAATCTTTAAATCCCCAGAACTCACTTGGAAAAGGCCCTAGTTTTATGTTTCTTATGTTTTCGCGTATGGCTCATCAATTGACGTTGATACCACTGTTGGGGATGTTAGATCCCCAGAACTCGCTTGATAAATATCTTTATTTTGGATTTATTTCATGGACCGATCAGTTGACCTTGAGATTACACCTCTCACCAGGAAAATCCGTGGTTGCGATTGGTTACTGTGTCATTTTAATGTGCTATTTTCGTGACTGTTCGAAGGACGTCTCTATTGATTGTGTGCTGGCTGGGTGTTTGTAGAATACACTTTCTACACTATATCATTGTTTTGTTCTCGTTATTCGACTAAGGTGAACTCGTAGTATTTTAAGCATACTTAGAGACGAGCGTAACAGTTACATTTCCTACTCTGAAAATCCTTGACTGTGATTGGTTGATGTGTTATTTCAGTAGACTATTTTTGTGGCTCTCTCAAGGACATTTTTATCATGTATAAATAAGCCCGATTTGTATACTTGTCGAGCTCGTATTTTCTGGGTGCTTGTAGAATACACTTTCAGCGTCTTGTCAAGACTTCTTGATATAGTTAGCCGGGTTGGGGACAACGGATTAAAATAGCCTATCTCGTGTCACTGATTCATTTGTCTTGGCTCTCGTTTGCCGACTAAGGTGAACTCGTAATAGCATTCAAGCATATCAATTGACAAGCATACCAGCCGTTGTATTGCAAAAGCGGTCATTGAAATATTTCTGAAATACTGCGCTACATTAATGACTGACTTTAAATTTGTTGTGTTTTTCTTTTCTGCTACGTTTATCCTAAAACTTAGGCTGAATTTAGCAATAATATGTCCGGTTTATCAACAAAACATGACTACGATGTTACTCCTACCACTACTGCTACTACTACTAATAGTAATAGTAGCAGGAGTAGTACTAGTAGTAGTGCTGACGGATACAATACACAATCAGATATGTATTCTTGGCTTATACCAGACAATAAAACTGTATCAGTTCACACAAAACTATCTTCATTAGACATAGATTCTTCATCCAAGATGAATTCATTATTTCCTGAACATCTTTTCCAAACTGGACAACCAATTGATTTATCACGTTGGTTAAGACAACAGTCGACATCATCACCATTATTGACATCATCTTTGCAATTATTGGCTAATAATAATCATGTGAATTGTGAATTGCCCATGGAACAAATTCAATCTATCAGCGAAGAGGAGCATAATAATGCTGTTTTACAGGTGAGTTTAATTCGGATTGTTTCTGAATTGAAACCTATTACTTTTATTGAAGTTTAATGGCTGCATTCTTGACTGTGTAGCTGGTACCTTGTGACGTGATGGTTGGATTTGCCTATATCGTTGAGAAGACGTGACCAATGGAGTTCAACCCTGTCGGGTGTAGGCAGTAACTACCCAAGACAAATGGGTGAGGTCGTGCAAAATCCCTAGATCAATCAGAGTTAGACATTAACACAGTTGGATGCCGGCCCAGTGGTCCGATGGTAAGGCGTTCGCCTACAATGCCAAAGGTCCTGGGTTCGAATCCTGCGAGGAGCAGGAGTCGTGGATGCGCACTGCTGATGAGTCCCATACCAGGACGAAACGGCCGTCCAGTGCTTCCAGGTTTCTAAAGGTGGTCTAACAATGATTGATTGATGGTTTCAAATGTGTAAAAACGCAAACCTCCAAAACTGTGCCCCAATATATCGTGATAACCCTACTGAGTTATATGGGCTGGAACATATGTTCCTGAAGGTTCTACAATGCCAGGCAGGTCGATTGGAGAACGATGAAACTAAAAGCAGCATCTCAAGGTCTGAGAGTGAAGTTGTACTGCTGACTGCAGAGGGGTATGATAGCAGTAAGGTGTTTCCTTTGGGACAACCAGAATGTGCAGCAATGCTGCCTTCTTAGATGGAAGGAAGGGTATGGAAAAGGTTGACGCGAAGAATAGAACACCTCACCTTACCTCACAGATTTCCGTCTCCCTCAGTATGGCCACTTGAAGAGCGGAACCAACACTTTAAAATGTTTCAGTAAGAAGCTCGTACGTGATTGGCTTCAAGCTGTTGTCCCTTGGACTCTGCGGTCACGCTTCCAGGTTGTTAGATGATGGTCATGTGGTGTGGTAACTTTTTAAACTGATAACCCATTTGTTGCAAGACCTTGAATATCTGTCCTACTAAAGCAGTCTCATATTGGTAGTAAAACAATTGTCCTGGTGCCCTAATCTAATACCGTTGATCAAGTGTACAACGGGACCAGTTGTGTAAGCAACACAATCTGATGTGCATCAGTGAAAGTTACGATCTTACATCCACAAGACGTAACACAGTTATTGTGGTGTGTCCTATCCACCCCCAGCGCTTCCTGATTTTCTCCTCTGCTGGAATCTGGTTTGTTCTCTCTCACAGTAGATTAATGCTGACAGTGTCAGACCAACGGATCCAAAGTTTCTGGAATAGACAACCGTTAACGAAAACTTATATCTTCTAGATGATGGCTTTTATAGTTCTCCAAGTTTCCGCGCCATATTGTCTTGACATTTGTATTGAAAATTCTGACTTTGATGTTGGTTGACAGTTGCTTTGAGTTGCAGATGTTCTTTAATCGTAGAAATGCTATCTTTGCTTTTCAGTCAGTCAGTTACAACGTAGAACTTCGTACGTAAGTACATCAGTTCAGGTTGCCATACCACATCAGCAGAGACGCAAATTCAAATCAATACCCCAGTGATAGAGATAGTAGAAGTATTAGCAGTAATGGAGAAGATTAGGGAGCGAAGATATGATTCGAGAAGTATAATTCAGTAAGATAAATTTAGAAGGAGAAAGGTAGAGATTATGAAGAATTCAGAAGGTTAGAATTTCATAGAACACAAAGAGTGGATGCACCTGCGCCATTGCAAACGATTTTGAGCCATGTCATTCAAGGTCTCCAACCATTGGTGACTTTTGTCTCGTGGACCCCAACCAGGTAGCCCACATCTACCAACATGATTCAGTCCACTTGTCAGTGACTTCATGGATTTCTGCCATGTTTTGGTTTAGCCGCTCCTAGCTTTATTCCAACCTACTTTCCTACACCACAAAACATAGTTCGTCGAGGCAGTCCGTCGTTGGGCCTTAGATTATAAAGAATCGTAGTCCTATAGACCAACTTGTCTTTCCCTCTTGCTATATATATTACTTACTTACCTATTGACATCAGTTACTCCTCGTTGAGCACAGGCAGGGTTCTTTTTTTCCAGTTGTTTCTGATTACTGTTCATTTTGTTTGGTGTCTGTCTCTTTTTTCTCTTGACCTTGAGAACCACCTCCTATATGCACATACATGTGTAGTGTGTAAGTATATAAACCTACAATTTCCGAGTAATTATTGATTATTTTGTATGCATATTTCAGACAAATGAAATCTCTTCAATGAATTCAACAGGACAAATTCAAACTATGAATAGTAATATTAATAATAATAATAATAATAACAGCCTGTGTCATGATGATATTACCATAGAATATTGTCCAAAATTTGGTATATGTCAAGGTGGTCCTGGTGGACCAACTTGTTGTGGTGGTGTTGGTGGTGGCGGTCGTGGATGTTCGCTATCAATGCGTCAAACAAAAAATCCAGTCAATTTATCCATGCAATCGATCCAATCGGTCAATCATGACAATTCAATGTTCAATACTGCATCGAGTTGGTTCAATGATCAATTCGACAGTGCATTTGACAACAGTCATGCTACTAGCACTACTACTACTACTAATAATAATAATGATAATAATGATAATGATAATAATAATAATAATAATTCTATTGTCATTGAATTAAATCGTATTGCAAATAGTGAATTAAAACAATGGATTATTAATAGTAACAATAGTCGCCATAATAGTCTGGATTGTTCTCCTGTTCTCCTGAATATGAATAAACAATGGACTATTATGGATTCAATGCCTCAAAAGTAGGTAAATATATTTTCTATTGTTATGATTATTACTATTTGTTACGCCTGCACGTAATCACGTCGACTTGATATACTTGAACTATTACGAGTTTATCTAGTCGGAAACGAGAGCGAGGATCCGGTGACACGACATGCTACTCAAATCCGATTATCCCAACCCCCCCCATATTGAGTGAAAATAAGAAGACTTGATATGAAGTAGAACGTGTATTCTACAAGCATCCAGAAAGCACGAGGTCCGAATCCAGAAGAGAATCAGGATCCTGGACTAGGGATCCGGGACCGGGTCCTGGTCGTGGTCGATTAACGTTACAGATAATGCGTATTTATACATTTTGGTCGAATAGGAAACAGCATCGAATTCTGTGATATTGACAGTTAAGACGACCAATAGGAAGTAACATTTGAAGTGACATTGATAGTCAGGACAACCAATAAGAAACAATATTGAAGTATCTGACTTTAACAGTTATAACGACCATAATTTTGACCAATAGAAATCGACCAATAGGATTTGACCAATAATTCTCTTAGGATATTGGATGAATATCCTAACACTGTTATTCTCATTCCGTAATTTATTGGAAATATGTATCGTTCGTATGACATTGTCGTGAGTTTGTTCAGATCAAAAATCGATTTAAGTGTAGTCGATAGATAGATAGATAGATAGATAACCGATTGAAAATATGGCATGTATCCAGACGACTCCCGCTCTGGATGATCTGGAAGACTTCGCAGATGATTAAGCCTTTCTGTCTTACATGCAACAAAAAATGCTGGAGAAGACGACTAGTGTAGCAGCAGCAGCAGTCTCGGCAGCAACGTACACAGGAGAAAAAGCCATATCCTTCGATACATACACAACGCGCACCAACTAAATCACACTTGATAGTCAGTCAGTCAGTCAGTCAGATGCAACGTAGAACTTTGTACGTAAGTACATCAGTTCATGTTGCCATATCTTATCAGCACAGAGATATAATTGTCAATTCAAATCCAATAGTAGAAGAGGTAGTAAAGGTATTAGAAGTAATCGGAGAGCTTGGGATGAGAAGATATTATTCAAGAAGTATGATTCAACGAAATAAGTTTCGAAAGACAAAACTGGAGGTGTTGAAGAATCCAGAAGATTAGGATTTGAGAGAACACAAAGAATAAATGCACCTGCGCCATTGCGAACGATTTTGAACCATGTCATTCAGGGTATCTAACCATCGATTATTATCATCTCGCGGACCCCAACCAGATAGTCGACAATTACCGACATGACTCAGTCCACTCGTCAGTGACTTCATGGATTTCTGTGATGTTTTGGTCTGGTCGCCCCTAACTTTCTTCCAACCTATTCCTACACTACAAAACAAAGCTCGTCGAGGCATTCGGTGGTTAGGCGTACGCAGCACATGTCCCAACCACCTCAACTGATGAAGTTTCACCACTTCATCGATTGATCTGCCATTCTTACCTAGCACCCGTTTCCTAATAACAGCGTTGCTCACTTGGGTGTCCTACGATATACGAGCAATGCTTCGAAGACACCTATGATCGAAAACCAATAACCGACGAATATCTTCTACTCTCACTGGCCATGTTTCCCAGCCATAAAGTAAGACGGAGCGAACTACTGAACAGTGCACAGTACGCCATAAGTGACGCAGGTTGGCAAAAGCCAATCGAACCTTCTGTATCCGTGCTGAGATTTCGTCAGTCACCAGGCCATCGGCGATGATGAGACTTCCGAGATAAGTGAAGCAGTTTACTCACTCAACTGCTTCACTCCCTATCACTAGTTCAAGTACCGATGCAACCCAATCTTGAAGCAACATTTTGCATTTCGAGTGTGAGAACCGCATCCCACACTTGATAGAGAAGCTTTGGAGGATGTAGAAATCTTTGATGAGCAAGGTGGATCTACTGCTGATGTGAAGGGGGGTGGATTGGCAGATCAAGGGATGCATTGTTTCAACTGAACAACATCTGGAACTCAAAACTGAACTATCAACCAACACTAAAGTTAGACATTTGAAATCATTAATCAATCATCATTGTTAGACCACCATTAGAAACCTGGAAGCACTGGACGGCCGTTTCGTCCTAGTATGGGACTCCTCAGCAGTGCGCATCCACGACTCCTGCTCCTCGCAGGAGTCGTGGATGCGCACTGCTGAGGAGTCCCATACTAGGACGAAACGGCCGTCCAGTGCTTCCAGGTTTCTAATGGTGGTCTAACAATGATGATTGATTAATGATTTCAAATGTGTAAAAACGCAAACCTCCAAAACTGTGCCACTAAAGTTAGAATTTTCAGTACAAATGTCAAAATAATTCTATTGTATGGAGCGGAAACTTTGAGAGCTACGAAAGCTATTATTCAAGAGATATAGGTATGAATGAACAGTTGTCTACACAAGATACTGATGATCCGTTCGTTGGCTAGAAATTATCAGCAACATCTTACTTTGTGATAGGACAAACCAGATTCTAGCTGAGCAAGAAATTAAAAAAAAATGCGCTGGAGGTGGATAGGAAACACATTGCAGATAGCATCCAACTGCTTCAGATAACAAGTCCCAGCTTGGAATCCTTTAGTCCGATAGGAGAATAAGAAGACTAGAGAACACATTCCGCCGAGAATAGGAGACAGACATGAGAAGGATGAATAGCAATTGTACAGAATTAAAAAGGAAGGCTAAGGATAATGCTGGTCGTCAGCCTATGGTCTATTTGGAGTGACAGGCGTAAGTAAGTTATTATCAAGTATAATAAATGAAACTCATAACATCCCTTCAACTTATGAAAACTCTTTTGGTATGAATGATACTTGAAACTGAGATGGTGGAGAAAATTTGTAGCTCAGGTAGATGATTGTCGGTTGGTGTTTCGTTCTCTGAACTGCGGATGTTTTGGTTGTGGAGCTTTCATTACTGTTCTTCTACTGAACAACATCGTCATCATCAGCACAAACTTCAGGTATAGAAGAAGTGAAGTATTTGAATTTCTCCACATTTGACCCGTAGCTACAATTAGTATAACTTTGGAATAACAGGAATACTGTCATAATCATCTCAGTTGTAATCGAAAGCTATAATTCGACTTAAGAACTAAGGTTTTGACCTTTTAACTATAAAGTTGGATTACGGTTATCAACAATCTCAACCCTAATATCAGACACACATCTTCACACTCAGACAGGTCCTGGAACACAGACACACATTTAGGCGTCCTACAATAGTTGTTTTCCTGGACCTAAAAGCGGCATTTGACTCAGTGGATCGTGAGGTTCTGTGGCAGTGTCTGTCATTGAAAGGTGTACCAATGAAGTACATTAACCTTATACAAGCACTCTACTCGAACACCACTGGTCGAGTGAGAGCTTATAGCGAACTGTCACCGGAATTCTCTACATCAAGTGGTGTCCGTCAGGGATGTCCACTCTCTCCATTCTCGTTTAATTTTATCATAGACATGCTCCTAGAAATAACCTTATCCTCGTCTGAATTTTCAGGAGTATACCTTCTACCAGGAGACACGATTGTTTACATAGAATATGATGATGACATAGTTCTATTTGGTGAAGACGCTGACAAAATAGAGAGTCTTCCGATTACCCTAAGCAACAATGCAAGCATGTTCGGGATGCGGTTTTCCCCCTCGAAATGCAAAATGTTGCTTCAAGACTGGGTTGCATCGGCACCTGAACTAGTGATAGGGAGTGAAGTAGTCGAACGTGTAGACTGCTTCACTTATCCTGGGAGTCTCATCAGTGCCGATGGACTGGTGACTGACGAAATCTCAGCTCGGATACAGAAGGCTCAATCGGCTTTTGCCAACCTACGTCACTTATGGCGAATGCAAAATATGCGTTTGCTAACTAAAGGACGAGTGTACTGTGCAGCAGTTCTCTCTATCCTACTGTAGTGAATGAGAACACAGGTGGGGCAACCCAATTGTATTTAACGAAAATTACAGAGTTACTCAATAAAATCGGAAAACCATTTTGTAAATTGTTCATTTGCAAAATATCATATCATCCTATTGAACTGGACTGTTCCTGTTGCCAAACATCAATCCATTGTCACTATTCATGCGTTTCATACAAATTCCATTGTGTTCCCACTCTTTCTTTTTTTATCTTCCCCCATCTTCTGCTGCCAGACATTACGTTTTCACTCGCGTCATATACTACTTATAAGTAGCTCACACTACGCTACTATACGGATGCGAAACATAGCCGTCAAGAGTAGAGGACATTCGTAGGTTACTGGTTTTCGATCATAGGTGTCTTCGAAGCATTGTTCGTATATCGTGGGACACCCGAGTGAGTATGTGTGAAAAGTGTGAAAACATCCAATTTTACATTGAATGATAGAATAATGTTTGGGATATTTTCTATGAATATCCCTTAACACACGCACACATACACTATATGTGTTTTTTTATCTCTCCTCCCTCCCCCCTCCCCCCCGCACAATATTTTGCATAGTTATGTAACATCATCAGTACTTCAAGGGAAATCGTCGAAAATCGATACACGAATCAATGCAAATGAAGCGTACGGAATAGACGAAGAATTGGATGAACCAGATACAACACTATCCAATCAATATCTTCCTCCTCCATCTCCTTCTCGTCATCATCATCATCATCCTGGCGATCATCGTGATCGTTCAATTCTCCTATCACCACCATGCATAGATGAGAACAATGAATGTCAATTGACTGATTCAAATCACAATTTATTTGTATCAGTTAAACATTCCACATATACAGATTGGTTAATTTGATGCCGTTCCAATGTGGCGGTTGTTTGTTTTATTTTTTGTTTCAAAGAAAACAATGAAGATTTAGTTAGACATTGAATTTTGAACAGAATCGCGCGCTACACGCTACACGCACGATGAGTTGATTCAATGGAGTTGCGCTTCTGTGTCAACTCTCACTTTCTGTCTCTCTTTGCGCGTGTATTTTCTCCTCCGTCTAATTATTATTCCCTGGTGTATGGATAATACAGTCGACAGTGCCCGTTGTTCAGTCACTCACCCATTCGACGAAACCTTCTCTCTCTCACTCTGTGTTCGTGTTTCGCTATGATTGACTGATATGAACGCGTTATACATCTAGTAGAGTTGTGTGTGTGTGCGTGTGTGTTAGTGTACCGTGATTTTCATTGATGATTTCTTCTCGTCATGCATGTGATATTTGAATGCGCGCCGCGCTCTTTTGTGTGTCTGTTTTTTCATCCTTCAATTGTTGATTTTTTGTTTCAATTGGTCAATTCAATTTTTAGAATAGAATAATTATTTTCAGCTTATTTTCTTATTTCTAATTAAGTTATGACATGACATGACATGAATCGTAATATTTGTTTGTATTCTTCTATGATTTTAATTCCAATCTCAATCTGATCGATTCATTCAATCATTCATTCATTCATATCAATAGTGGTGTTTTGTGTTTTTTTTAATGTGGCCAGTGAGATGATGATGATGATGACAGTGTAGTTTTACTGGTGTGTGTGGGCATGTGTGTGTTTGTTGGTTGTAATTCTTTTTCAAATAATCTGCTTTGTTTTATGGCTGTGAAACTTGACCAGTTAGAGTGGAAGATATTCGTAGGTTACTTGTTTTTGATCATAGGTGCCTCTGAAGCGTTGCACGAGTATCGTGGTGGGACAATCGAGTAAGCAATGCTGTCGTTAGCAAACGAGTTCTAGGTAAGGATGGCGAATCAATAGATGAAGTGGTGAAACTTCATCAGTTGAGGTGGTTGGGACATGTGCTGCGTATGCCTGACCACCGACTGCCTCGACGAGCTATGTTTTGTGGTGTAGGAGCAGGTTCGAAGAAAGCTATGGGCGGCCAAATCAGAACATGGCACAAACTCATGAAGTCACTGACAAGTGGACTGAGTCATGTTGGTAGATGTAGACTACCTGGTATCTAATATATATATATATATATATATATATATATATCGGAGAAACGTTAATGTTTTATGTATAGGTTACTAATTTGTACAATGTTTGAAATGAATTGACTTATTGTAGCAAATTATGATATGCTCACTAGTGACTAACTAGCTTTGTGAGAAAATATTCAGAGTTCTAGTGAGAAGATGTGACCAGTAGAGTTCAACCCGGTTCGGGTACAAGCAGTTACTCACTAAAGGCAAATGGTTGAGGTTGGATGCCAGTTCCAGTGGTGCAGACGTTTAGGCGTTCGATCGCACGACCGGGGGTCTTTGGTCTAACTCCTGTGAGTTGCGGCAGTCATGGATGTGCACTGGTGATGAGTCCCTTACCAGGAAAAATGGCCCTGCAGTGTTTCCAGGTTTCTAATGGTGGTCTAAGACTGATTCATTCGTGACTTTAATGTTAAACATGATGTCATTTACTATTTTATTATAATTTGATCACACATTGGTGCAAAAAGGTACATAAATATATTTATGCGCCAAATGAATTATTGAATATCTGTGTGGACTGACTAGGATACTGATTGGATGATTATTTTTAGGAACTACTCAGCGAGTATTTCACGTAAGGGTTTAATTCATACGGCTGTGGCACAGTGTTAGGAGATACGATCCCATTGTTGTCGCTGTCCAACAATAGGCTCATATGTCGTTTGTTCCATGATGATCTACAAGCCGATGGGTACCGTTGGTTTGGAATCAGTGTTTTTTAAATTCGTCCAGGTGAATATTTCGTACTCATACTAGATCGCTTTCTGTTCTCTCGATTTCATGAACAACAGCGAGAAGATATTGAATAGGATTTCTATGACTATATGAGATGGTGGAGAAAATTTGTAGCTCAGATGGATGATTGTGGTGGTGGTGTTTGGTTCTCTGAGCTGGATATTTTGGTTGTGAAGCTTTTCACTGTTCTTCTACTGAGCCACATCATCAACAGCACAAACTTCAGATGGAAGTGAAGAGTTCGGATTTCTCCACGTCTGACCTGTAGCTAGTTCTGCTAACCTCGATCTTGATTGGTTTCTGTTCACTTTAAACCTGTCGTTGTTTTCACTTTTGTTTTGATTGTATCCCACTTTTGATTTGCTTCTTGATCCTATGTTTGCCTATGATTAGTTGATAAATTGGATCAATATCGATGTATTTGTTGATTGCTGAAGAATGCTTCACAACCAAAATATCCAACTCAGAGAACGAAACACCACCACAACCCTGACAATATCTTTATAAACGTAGCCATATGAGAGTAAAAAAGAACTCTTATCATTATTAATCATACGAAGGCAAATTGGGGATGCACAACTGATTTCAACTAAATACAACCACTGGGAATCATGGGGTATTAGACTTTGTTTGGTAATGCGCATTCAGACGAAAGAATACAATGCACTGGGAAATAGTGGCAAACATGAAAAGAATGAACAACACTTACGAAACAAGTGGAAAGGAGATTTAATTACAGTTTAGTTGGAATATTCTTGTTTGGTTGCCTATTGGCGAGCTGATAACGTGCAAGCGTTTAGTTTCATAGTCCTGGGTTCGATCCGTAGGTATACATTGTTAAATAACCTTATACTAGGATAAAACACCCGTCCATTGCTTTTTAATTTATAGTGTGATTATCTAATTAAGGTTATTTTGTAATGTTGAGCACAATTACTTTAAAGTACAAAGTATCAAGCATTTTGATGGCTAGCGCTTGTATTAAATGACTGATTGGCATAGATTAACGATTTTTAATTATTGATTTTCTTGCTTTTGTAAATTTTAACTGTCATACCATTTGATTGATTGATCATTTCAGCTTGGATGAACACGAATAGTTCAAACTGAACTATTCAAATGGTAAATTTGTTGTTCACTCCATTCTCATGTTTGATTTACGTTGGTTGTTCCAGTCTAGCTGATTATTAGCTGGGGGGGTTCGAACGGATATACTTATGTACGAAGTTCTGCGTTGTATCTGTCTGTCTGTCTGTCTGTTCGAGCCTCGCTTGCGTTAATCATGAATACGCATTGTTGATGAGTCACATCGTAGGATTAGAGATAGCCGTTTACTAACCAAAAGGATGAGCACAATTCGCAGCAGTTCGCTTCGTTCTCCTATATGGGTGCGAAACATGGCCGGTGAGAGTAGAGTACTTTCGTAGGTTACTAGTTTTCGATCACAAATGTCTTAGAAGCATTGCTTGTATATCGTGGGACAACCGAGTAAGCAGTGCTGTCGTTAGGAAACGAGTACTAGGTAAGGATGTCAAATCAATAGATGAAGTATTGAAACTTCATCAGTTGAGGTTGTTGGGAGAAGTGCTGCGTATGCCTAACCATCGACTGCCCCGACGAGCTATGTTTTGTAGTGTTGCAGTAAGTTGGAAGAAAGCTGGGGGTGGCCAAATCAAAACATGGCACAAATCTATAAAATCACTGACAAGTGGACTGAGTCATGTTGGTAGATGTAGGCCACGTGGTTGGGTTGCGCGAGACGAAAGTCACCAATGGTTAGAGACCTTGAACGACATGGCTCAGAATCGTTTGCTATGGCGTCAATGTCTGAACACAAATCCATGAATTTATCAATAGCTGGACTGAGCCATCTTAGTTCGTGTACACTGCTATCTGGTTCGGGTCCGCGAGATAGTCGTAACAAGTAGTTGGAGACTTTGAATAACATAACTTATAATCGTTAGCGATAGCGAAGGTGCATACATTCTTTTTGTTCTCTCAAATCCTAACCTTCTGAATACCTCATCACATCTATCTTTCTCTTTCTAAGTTTACCTCACTGAATTATATTCCTTGAATAACATCTTCGAACCCTAATCTCTCTGATTACTTCTAATACTTTTACTACATCTACTACTATGGGATTTGAATTGACAATTCGGTCCCTGTGTGCTAATGTGACATGGAAACTTGAATACTGATGTACGCACGTATGTATAAAGTTCTTAGTTATAGCTGACTGAATGACAATGTCCTAACTCAAATGATTAAAAACTCCTGTGTTTAAACTATACTACTGAATAACTATAATTCAAAATGTAATGTAGAAATTTGATTTGAATGCTTCACATTATACAAGGACATTGCTCTGATAGCTTTTTTTATTCTCAATAATGTACACATCTATGACTTAATCAAGAATGTGATCTAAGATCTATGAACCTCGACTTCTGCATTCACACTACTGAGTTTGTATCAGAAATATAATATTTCGAACATCAGTGAATAAATGATATTGTCTTGAATAGTAATGACTTACTCACTCTCGATATGGCCTAACACCATTAATGTACAAGTGTTCACCTTACTGTGATTTAATGAGCCAATTAGAAATGATCAAATGAAAAGTTCACTTAATAATGAATGGATTTCGTTGGTCAAGAAATGGATTAATTTTCTAAGGCGGTCGAATGAATAATTGTGTATAATTATTCAGTAGTCAAATAAACTTTCTATTCCACGTTTGCCTTCTTGCTTAAGCAGTCAACTTTTTGTGTGTGGAGGAGGTGGTTAGCACTCCCTAGCGTTCGTATATCGGACCCCGATCATCAGAGCAGTCTTTGTCAAATGTCACAAACTTCAGTGCTGCTTATCGATTGATTGCTTTTACTCCGAAATCTTATGAAAAATATCCTTCACTGATTATGTTTACAACATATTATATCAAAAAAGTCCTTCCACCTTTAAAAAAAAGTACTCAAGTTTATTTTGGTACTAAGGCATTAAGGATTAAAAGCTATTAATTAGTAAAATGTACATTGCAACCGAGTAAGCAATGCTGTCGTAAGGAAATGGGTGCAAGGTAAGGATGACAGATCAATAGATGAAGTAGTGAAACTTCATCAGTTGAGGTGGTTGGGACATGTGATACGTATGCCTAACCATCGAATGCCTCGACGAGCTATGTTTTGCAGTGTAGGAGTAAGTTGGAAGAAAGCTAGGAGCGGCCAAACATGACACAAATTTATGAAGTCACTGACAAGTGGACTGAGTCGTGTCGGTAGATGTAGGCTACGGGGTTGGGTCCGTGAGATGAAAGTCACCGATGGTTACAGACCTTGAATGACATGGCTCAGAATCATTTGCAATGGCGCAAGTGCATCCATTCGTTGTGCTCTCCCAAATCCTAATCTTCTGCATTCGTCAGCACCTCTACCTTTGTCTTTCTAACCTTATCTCACTGAATTATACTTCTTGAATAATATCTTCGAACCCTAGTCTTCTTCATTACCATTACTACCTCTACTATCTTTATCACTATGGGATTTGATTTGACATTTGCGTCTCTGTGCTAATAATGTGGTATGGCAACATGAACTTATGTACATACGTACGATGTTCTACGTTGCAACTGACTGAAAATGTACATTGAATTGGTTTAATGATGATATGGTTAGAAAAGTAATGATTAGAAAATAGTGAGTATAATGAAATTCACTTTAGTAATATAGAATAAATATTTATAACAGTTAAATACTTTTTTTCGACTTCAAATTCATGTTCATAGAATTATGGAGATTGTAGTTTAGTACTGAAATGCTGAATCAATCATTATTAGACCCTCATTGGAAATCTGGAAACACTGCACCACCCTTTCGTCCTTATATGGGACTGTCTTTTGAGCAGTGCGTATCCACGACTCCTGCACCTCACAGGATTCAAACCCCGCACTTTCGGTCTTGCGCGAGAACGCCTAACCTCTGAACCACTAATCCGACAACCAACGATGTTCATGTCTAAGTCTGGTCAATCCAGGGATTTTGCGCCACCTCACCCGTTTTTCTTCAGTAGTTACTGCCTAGTTCACCCAACAGAGTTGACCTCCATTGGTCACGTGTTCTCACTAAAACTGCTAGAATATCCTCACGAAGCTAATCAGTCACTAGTGAGCACAGTGGATGATTTTTCATTATAGAGTTTTAGAGATTGTTACTTTTATTACTGAAATCATGAATTAATCATATAGCCAAGGCCTCCATAAACCTCAAAATTTGTCCTTCAACATTTCTATACAATGTTTTGAAGGCTGTCCTGATGACAATCTTATGTGCCCTGTCTCAATGATGTGTTTTGCGATTTGATGAACATGGTTTTCTATTTCCAACGCTAATCAGCTCATCTGACGTTAACTGATTTTGTAGCCACTTCGGTACTTATTCCTTAACCCTTGATTGTAAAGTTCGATTACTCTCCTCCCTATGTATATGTGCATCCACACAAACATGTGAATTGATAAATGCAATGGGATATGATGTAATCATTTGATCGACGTTTAGGTCTATGTGAAATCATCGGCTTAGTCTTTTCAATGATAATCAGTTTAGTAACGTTATATGTTTTCTCTATAGACAGACAGATAGATAGATACAACGCAGAAGTTCGTACGTATGCACATCAGTTCAGGTTGCCATACCACATCAGCACAGAGACGCAACTATCAGTTCAAATCCCATAATGGTATTGTTAGTACAAGTATTAGCAGTAATGGAGATTAGGGATCGAAGATATGATTCGAGAAGTATAATTCAGTGAGATAAATTTAGAAGGAGAAAGGTAGAAATTATGAGGAATTCAGAAGGTTAGAATTTGAGAAAACACAAAGAGTGGATGCACCTGAGCCATTGCAAGCGATTCTGAGCCATGTCGTTCAAGGTCTCTAAACATCGGTGACTTTCATCTCGCGGACCCAACCCCGTAGCCTACATCTAACGACACGACTCAGTCCACTTGTCAGTGACTTCATGGATTTCTGCCATGTTTTGGTTTGGCCGCCCCTAGCTTTCTTCCAACCTACTACTAAACCACAAAACTTAGCTCGTCGATGTTTTCTCTATGGCTACTTTTAATCTCTGTCTTAAGATTAGACCATTTGCTTCACCTATAAATGATAAAATGATATTAACATTTTTTTTCCCAGCAGAATGAAAAACTTGCTTTTGTCTTAATTGATTTCTATACCTATGGATGAACTTTAGCGGATAGCCGTTTCAAATCAATGCTTCAGTTAAGAATTTTGCATGTGAACCATTCTAGTTATGATTTTCATAATAAGGTTATGTACATTGTTTCATGGAATTCAAGAATTGATCATTGTTAGACCCAACATTAGAAACCAGGAATTATTGGGCGGTCGCAACTTCCTAGTATGTGACTCATCGGTAGTACGCATCCACGACTCCTAGCTCTAGGGAATCGAACGCAGGACCTTTGGTCTCTCAACCTTAAAGCTAATGAACCAGCTTCCAACGGTGTTAATAATGATCTAACAATGATCAGTTCATAATTGCAATAATAGTTATGTCACAACTGTTTAAGTGATGTTTTTTTCGTAAAATCGATACTGACTGATCTCTATTCTTAATAGGTTATTGATTATCGTTGATTTGTTGTCGCTAAAACCATGATTTACGTCAATTTCTGACATGTTTCATTAAGATGGTGAAGAGAATTTCCAGCTCAAGTGGATGATTGTGTTGGAGTTTGGGAGTCTCTAAGCTGGCCATGTTTTGGTTGTGGAGATTTCATCATTGTTCTTCTTCGGAACACAACATCAACATCAGTACAAACTTCAGGTAGAAGAAGTAAAATATTCGAATTACAATCAAAGTAGATGTTCAAACTAAGACAGGTTTAAGGTCAATAACACCCAGTCAAGATTGAGGTCAACAGAACAAGCTTACTTACTTACGCCTGTTACACCCAAAATGAACATAGGCCGCCCACCAGTTTTCTCCAACCAACTCTGTCCTGGGCTTCCTTCTCCAGTTCTGTCCAATGTTTGTTCATTCCTCTCATATCTTTCTCTATTTCTCGGCGTAATGTGTTACTTGGCCTTCCTCTTTTCCTTTTGCCTTGAGGGTTCCATGTGAGGGCTTGTCTCGTGACGCAGTTCGGTGCTTTCCGCAATGTGTGCCCTATCCAATCCCACCGCTTTTTTTTGATTTCCTCCTCCACTGGAATCTGGTTTGTTCCCTCCCACAGTGCGTTGTTGCTGATGGTGTCTAGCCAACGAATCCGAAGTATTTTGCGTAGACAACTATTAATAAACATTTGTATCTTCTGGATGATGGCTTTGGTAGTTCTTCAAGCTACGTGGAGAAATTCGATTACTTCACTTCTGTTTGAATTTTATACCGATGATGTCGTTGTTCAGAAGAAGAACAATGATGAAAGCTCCAGAACCAAAGCATCTCCAACTCAGACAACGAAACTTCACCATAATTTCGGTAAATGAATCAAGATTGAAAGAAAAAAGTACTAGTCAATAAGATGTGGTTTTTTCATTAAATGCGGTAATTCGATGGGATATTTATGACATATTTTCAACTGTCAATGAAAAAAATAACCGGAAAATCAATCATCTGAAAGAAATTTTGTATTAGTTGATGATGTTATGGTGCAAATTTATTTAGTTAAGGTATATTTGTTTGACACGATAAAACATTTTAAGCAATATGCCTTAAAATTAGTACTGGTAATACAAATACATTCTACGCTTTCTTTTCCTCTAGTGTGAAAGTAAAACATGATTGGTCAATGAACGTAGACAAACAGGTACCTAGCATACTTTCTTGCTTTAATTACGCCTGTTACCGACAAGCGTTTATGTAGTGCTTTGGTTATCTACGGTATGGGGTCATTAACCCCACACTTAACACTCCTCCTTTATCCGATCTTGGGATAAATTCGCGTTAGACTAGGTTGCCGCCTAGAAACTTCTGGGATTACTGCCTGTACCGAACCTGGATAAAAGACGCGGGTTGGGCATGGGGTTAGAAACTCCATCCCGTAGAAAAATAATTTGCTGAAAAACGCCAACCAGAACAAATAATTCAAACCACTTTAACTCTGTCTTATGAGTTGGAAGGTCTCCATTTAGAAGCGTTATGACCTACCACAGTGAAAGACAAGCATCTTTGTAAGTTACAAGGCATATCCCCCTTTTAACAACCAATGCAACAATTGATATAGGCACATGGAATGTTCGCACAATGTGGGAGACCATTTAGCTAGCTCTGGAAACGGAAAGCTACAAAATAATGTCGCTTGGAATAAGTGAAACCCATTGGAAAAGCGCTCGAGGTAGATAGCATACATTGAGGAAATCTCTGATCTGCATTACGAGGTGAACCCTAACATGGTTTTTAGCTGGTGATTCTTTTATAACTAGGCTGGTTAGTTGAAAGTGCGGTTGAGTTCGTCAATATTATATGCTTTCCCCGTTACTACTAACTTAATTAACCAACTGGCCCTTTTTTTGTTGGACACTTAGTATTTAGGTCTTAGCGTTGAAAGATAGATGTAATATTATTCTAGATCCTATAGAGTTTATTTGAATTTTTGTGAATATTTGAACGATTAGCTCTATTCAAAATAGACGACTTTGGTTTAATTTAATCAGTTCAACAGGTAAAATTGATCAGTTTTTGTTTTGATGTGCGGTTGTATGAAATCTAAACATCACGCCGTAAAACTATCCATTTAGGCGAGAAGAACAGCGGTGTAGATGAAGTCTGCTTGATTACCGAATTATAATACATCGATTCTTCAGCTGTAAAAAATGTATTCGCCTTTTTTGACCAATGACATCCATTCATCCTTTAGGACATATTTCTATTGGTCATCAAATGGCCTTCACATTTGGCTCTTTCTGATTGGCTCTCGCTGTATTTGTTTTAATCATGTAGAAATTCATTATATGTTCGCTCCATTCATAATATCTGCAATTAATGTCATTTTTGATTTTTTTTTTTGTCTCATTTATCAAAAAAAGGAAGCCAATTATGTAGTATGAATCATTTACAGAAAAACATTACACTTTACCATGTTGTATATCATTCTTTGGTCAAATATACATTCAACAATCAATTTCAAACTGCTCGTTGCTATTTTTCTTCCACAGTGTACATTTATCCACTAACCGAATCAATGCCGCTTAGTTTACCAAAAACATTCACCAATGAATTTATTTCCACTCAATGTCATCTATTTAATTTACCATGTTATTTAAACAATGACAGCATTATTCATGGGTTGTCTAATACGAATGCATTACGTCGTGCAGAATTATTTTATCAAAAACAATTATCCGATCATCATCAACATCTACATCAGCATGATCGAGATGTTAATGACGCGATGAATTCTTCCACTGACTTCTCCGACACATCTCAATCCGCTCGTTGTCAACATCAAACACGACAAAGCATACAAGTGGCATTATATCGTTATGTATTGAATAATCTACTTGGTTTATCCGACAGTCAGTCAACACTGGACAATAGTACTACTAATACTAATATTAGTAGTAGTAGTGATATTCCTTTATTGTTAGATCTTGGTTGTGGTATACACCAAACCGATATAATCAATCATTATCAATTGTCCATATCGAATTTCAGTCGGAAATTTATTCCAATCTGTATTGATTTATTCAGTAATAATGATCATAATAACAGTAGTAACAGTAATCATAATCATAATATTCATTTCCTGAAGTGTAACTTATTAAAACGACACTCATCACAGTCATCATCGTCAGTGTTATTACCATTTCCTGACTACTCTATGCATTACATCATATCGATTTCATTTGTACAATGGTTATTAATCCCAATGGTGTATCAATCGTACTGTCTGGAAAATTTCCTATTAGAAATTATCCGTTTATTAAATCAATCATTTCATAATGCACAATGTGTCATACAATTTTACCCGTCGAAATTAACTGATTTACAATTGATGTGTGAAACAATCGGGAGGCAATCGCATTCGAAATTCACTGGTTGTTTATTAATTAGTCGACCGATTTCCGATCGTGGTATGAAAATATTTATTTATTTAACTTGTAAGTAAATAAATCGTGGAATTGTTGATTGATTTTCGGATACATTTTGAAGCAAAAAAAAACAAAAAAGATCAGTCAATTTATTTGATTTTTTCTTGTAACTAAAATTTTACTTTTGTGGGCAACTTTTTTTCTTAATGTTCATAGGTCAGTAGAAATTAACTGTGAGTGGTAATTGATGTGTGTACTGACTGTTCCTCTCTTAAAACTGGTTACGTAGCCAGTTGCCTCAATGAGCAGTGTTTTGTGGTGTAGGAGTAGGTTGGAAGAAAGCTTGGGGGCGGCCAAACTAAATCATGGCATAAATCGATGAAGTCACAGACAAGTGAACTGAGTGATGTTGGTAGATGTAGGCTAGCTGGTTGGTTGGGCTCCGTGAGATAAAAGTAAGCGATGGTGAGCGACCTTGATTGACATGGCTCAAAACTGTTTGAAATGGCGCAGGTGCATCCACTGTCTGTGTTCCCTCAAATTCTAACCTTCTGAATTCCTCATCATCTCTGTCTTTCTCTTTCTAAACTCATATCACTGAATTATACTTCTTGAATGATATCCTAGAACCTTAATCTTCTCCATTATCTCTAACACTTCTACTGTAGTGAAGGAGAACACAGGTGGGGCAACCGAATTGTATTTAACGAAAATTACAGAGTTACTCAGTAAAATAGGAAAACCATATCGTAAATTGTTCATTTGCAAAATATCAGTTCATCCTATCGAACTGGACTGTTCCTGTTGCAAAACATCAATCCATTATCACTATTCATGCGTTTCATACAAATTCCATTGTTTTCTAACTCTTCCTTTCTTGATCTTCGCCCATCTTCTGCTGCCAGACATTACGTTGACACTCACGTCATATACTACTTATAAGTAGCTCGCACCACATCTGTACCACTATGTGATTCAAACTGACAGTTGCGTCTCTGTGCTAATGTGGTATGACAACCTGAACTGATGTACTTACGTACGAAGTTTTACGTTGTAACTGACTGACTACTTAGCCGAAAAGATAGGAGTGGAAAAGAGAGTCTTTCAGGCTGTCTACAAATACTGGTCCACTCACGATGAAACTGGATCCATTTCTTAACCAATGATATGCTTTCGTACTTCATGACATTTCTGATAGGTTTAATAGTTTTAATTTTACAGTATAGATAACTTAAAAATGATAGCATTGGGCAATTTCTGCACTTTGTGGAATTTTCACTGTTTTCTCCTACCAGCTGATCTTAACTAGATCGCTTTTGGAAGTCTGGAAATAGTGGATAACCGTTTTATATTAGTATGAAACTCTGCAACAGTGACGATCTAACACCTCGGATCTGAAAATCAAATTCAGGGCCTTCTAGCTTACACTCCACTGCCTTATCTCTATACCATTAACCTGTTAATCGGCATTGTTAATTTCTAATTTCAATCGGCTCACTTTTGGAGTTTGTAGTGAAAAACCGTAAAATGTGAAGTGCTACCATGTCTGGTATGAGACAGTAATGTACCATAAGTAATGGTAGCTGGTCTCACAGTGTAACGAAATAATTGAAGTTTGGAATATAAGCCATTAAATGGCATCTTATTAGTTTAAAAATGAGGTTCTCATTTCAAAAGTTGAAAGTTTGGGGTTCAAGGATGCGCATAACTGAAAAGTCCTATCCAAGGCTGTAATATTCATCTACTGTTCAAAGCCCGTCCACGGTGTGGGCAGCCGGGAGGAAAAATCTGCCCTCATACCCATAAAAGCATACTAGACCGAATCAGTCAGGATCAAATACTTTCTACATCTAATAACTCTCTTATCTCCACGACCAACCCTTCTTTGAATCGTTTGTCACCTTGCGCTGCCGAAGCAAACGGTTTGAGCTCACGAAGTGTTATTCCTGGTTTCCTGAAACCCCGTAGTAAACTACATATTGGAGTTTTTAATGTTCGAACCTTGTTCCGAATAGATCAACTGACTTCATTAACTAGAACTCTGAAATCCCGTGCAGCCGGTGTATGTTTCGTCTCCGAGTAAAATCATCAATTTGATTTCACCTATTGCAGACAGAGAAAGAACACGGTTTACGCTTCGCGTTTCTGGTAGCCCTGATGCTGCTTCCCGTGGCCTCGCTGATGCAGGTATATTATTAGGTATTGGGGCAGAACTAGCTCTCTTAGACTGAATCTCAGTAGACAGTCGCTTATGCGCTTTCCGACCAAAGGGGACTTTTCGAACTAGTAAAGATAGGGAAACTCGCCGTTTCATCTTCATTGTATCTGCCTACGCTCCCAGTGATTGCTGCTCGGACGAACTAAAAGATGAATTTTACAGAAATATTTTAAACCCCCCCAAAAAGGTAAGCACTCTGATATAGTCATAGTGGCTGGTGACTTTATTGCTCAAGTATGTTATCTGAGTGAAAAGGAAAGACACCTGGGTGGATCTTATGGTGTCGTAGCTAGTCGAACAGATAATGGCGATCGTCCACTGCAGCTATGTTCAGATAATCGCCTATTTCCAACAAGTACTAACCTCAAGCATAAGGAAAAACATCTCTTGACCTGGCGACCCCAAACGCCGACCCAACGATAGATCCAACTAGATCACATCGGTGGAGAGGCTCTGTCGCAGACTGCCGCTCGTTCTGGAGCACTTGTTTAGACTCAAAGCATGCCGTAGTGTGAGCGCGTATTTGTTTGCGTCTCACTTGACGTAGGAAAGATATTGCAAGGTAACCTCTTAGGGTTCTATCTAATCATAGCGTAGCTAAAGTTTTATTTCAGGAACAACTAGAAAATCAGTTAGACATCCATCTCGTAAGTGATGCCCACCCTGAGGCACCTTGGAATGATATCCAGAAAGCAGTTAAACAGCGGTGAAATATGCTAGTTAGGGAGAAGCCGTGGATTTCAGTAACATTTACCAAACTGATGGATGCTCGAAAGCTCATTCCTCTTGGCTGTGAGTACGATGAAGAGCGGACTCATCTTAAGCACAGGTTGATAAAAAGCCTACGCAATGATTGCGAACAGTGGTGGATAGCGAAAGCAAGGGAAAAGGCAACAGTAGACAACAACTGCTAGTGTGAATTCATGACTAGTGGAGTTCACCTCTGTAGGGATATGAAGCACTGCTCACCAAAGACAGTAGATGAGATCGCTCAAGATCGTAAATTGATCGAAGTTAGACATTAACGTCGTTAGATGCTGGGATCTGTGGTCTAGAGGTTAGGTGTTCGTGCACAAGACCGACGGTGCTGAGTCCGATTTTCGCGAGCGTTAATCGTGTATGCGTACTGGTGCTGCACATCAGGACAACAATGATCGTTCAATACTCCCAGGGTTTTTTGATTTCAAAAAATCACAACAACTCGATCAGAGCGCGCGCACACACACACCCGCGTATCACAAACACAAAATCTTTTATCAAAATAATTTCATTCTCATGTGTGTACAATGAATGCCTTTAAAAATTTTGTCACAATGAATAAAGAGTTTGTTTGTTAAATATTAAAATAAAACTGACAAAATAAATCATTGAATATTGAATGAAAAACAAAAATAAATAAATAAATATTGATCTCTTGAAAATTAAATGTTCAATTTTTCATCAGAAAATAAATCAATGTGTACAAAATTCAATTTTTGGTAAAATATTTCTACACTTTTCAATTTGTTAAAAATTAAATTAAATTAAATCACATAATCTACTGGTTGATGATTTTCGATGTAATTTTTTCGTTGGAGTAGAAGTAGTGGGAGAAGAAGAAGAAGTAGGAAGAGGATTTTGTTTTAATGCACCATACCTATTGTTATCGAATTTATTGACATTTGAAGGAATTGGCGCAGTTTGAAATTTTGAAGAATTTTGTTTATCATTCACGAGATCTTGTTGTATATTTGTAGTACTTGGAATTGTTGATAGTGTTGGATTGAATGGGATTGGTTTGAGAGAATTTTCTTTATTGTTTGATGATATTGATAAAGATGATGATGATGATGATGATGATGACGATAGTCCGGTTTGATCTAATCGACTAAGACGTCGTGATCTGTATATGATGTAATGAAATAATTGAGAAAAAAGAAAGAGAGATTATAGTTTGTTTTTATGGAGAGAGTGGTTTACATTGATATCAATAGCATCTGAGACATCCTCACTTACTTACTTACGCCTGTCACCCCCAATGCAGCATAGGCCGCCGGCCAGTGTTCTTTAACCTACTCTGTCTTGGGCTTCCCTTTCCAGATCTATCCAATTTTTGTTCATTCTTCTCATATCTTTCTCTATTTCTCGGAGTAGTGTTTATTGGCTTTCCTCTCTTCGTTTGACCTTGAGGGCTTGTTTTGTGACGCAGTTAGGTGCTTTCAGTAAAGTGTGTCCTATCAACTTCCAGTGCTTCTTCATGATTTCCTCCTCCACTGGAATCTGGTTTGTTTTCTCCCACAGTAGATTGTTGCTGATGCACCATCAGCAATGGCCAATGGATCTAAAGTGTTTCGCGTAGACAATTGTTAATAAATACTTGTATCTTCTGGATGATGGCTTTGGCAGTTTTCCGAGTTTCCGCTCCATACAGTTGTGTTGAAAATTATCGTTTTACTGTTGGTTGATATTTGTTTGTAGGTCCAGATGTTCTTTAATCATATAATCGCAGCGCTTGCTTTTCCGATCCGCGACTTTACATCTGTATGGGCTCCACCTTGATTGTTGGTAATGCTGTCCAGATATGTAAAGATTTTTACGTCCTCCAAGGCATCTCCATCAAGAGTGATTTGTTTGTCGCATGTTGTGTTGTATCGGAGAATCTTGCTTTACCCTCTGTGTATGTTGAGACCTGCTGCTGTTGACTCCGCTGTTACACTGGTCATCTCTTGCATTTGTTGTTGCGTGTGCGATAGAAGAGCCAGATCATCTGTGAAGTCCAGATCGACCAGTTGCATCTTAGTACCGTGCTTCTCTCCAGATATTGACGTCTTCATAATCTAGTCGATCACCAGAAGAAAGAGAAACAGTCAGAGTATCTAGGACATCCGTTTTGTTCTATTCCAGAGTTGATATTCACTCCAGGGCTCGAACCCAGTACTGTTCGCTTTAAAAGCTATGATGTCATCCACTTAACTATTGAGTTCAGAGAGAGAGATAGACACTGACTGGTGCAACATGTTTGAATTGATTTTTGATTGAAATCTGACTGGTCTTGTTTGTCATGCAAGGTCATCCTAACATGGACTACCAATGTAAACTTAATCACACTGTCAACAGTGAATTGAATTGAAACAATGAATCTTGTTCAAAACGTATCAAAAAATGAAAATTGTACTCTAATATTATGTCACGTCAAACATCCTCATCATCCTAACACATAAGTTTATCCACCCGACTGATTACGTCTAGCTTGTTAACAAAACTATTATGCTCGTCAGTTGATATGCTGGAACAATTACGAGTTCACCTTAGTCGGTAAACAAGAGCGAAGACAAATGATTCAGTGACACGATAGGCTACTCTAATCCGAGCGTCTCAAGGCCCTACTAAGTAGACGAAGAAGTCTTAATATGGCGTAGAAAGTGTATTTGACAAGCACTCAGAAAATACGAGGTTGACTAGTACACAGATCGAGTTTATTTATACATGAAAGAAACGTCCTTCAGAGAGCGTACTAAAATAATACATCAATCAATAGCAGTCAAGGATTTTCCGGTTGGAAATGTAGTGTCAAGGTCAACTGATCAGCCCATGCGCTAAAACATAATATCCATAATTAGGACCTTTCACAAGTGAGTTCTGAGGATCTAACGTCCCCAACAAAAACATTTTTGATTGAAAATACAGTAATGCGCAACAATTAATTTATCTGATTTATAATCGTGGTTTTCGGATGTCAATCGCACAATATTATTGATTGGTTGAATTTAGAGACATTAATACTATTGAATGCTGACTCATTAGTGGTTTAAAGGTTAAGCGTTCATGCATGAAACAGAAGCCCTTCAGTTTGATCCCAGTGTATGGGATCGGTGATACGTACTACTGACCAGTCCTGTATTAGTGTGAAACGACCATCCTGTGATACGATGTTTCAACGATGGTGTAATTGCTTCTCATTTCAAAGTTTTTGGGTTTTGATTCTATTTTGACTGGGCAGGGAAATATCTACTTTCAGAATGATGAATTCTGATGGGGACATACGTTAATCTACTGCGTAGATGCATAGGGCTGGTATCTGTAAAAGTTCAAAGTGACTAAATCAAAATGTAGTGTCGGTTATATGAACTCAAATATGATTAAACTGAGATGTGCTGGTTGATGTAAACTGCATACCTAAGGCTTTTTGGGATAATTTTGAACATCAGTTGGAAATGTTATATGATAATCAGAAGTGTCCTAATGAGAAGGCCATTTGATGATCATCAGAAAATGTCCCCAACAGACGAGTGCATGTCATTGGTCAAAAAATGGCTTCCTCTACTAAGGAGGTCAAGTAGCCAGTCTTGTTGGTGTCAGCGCGTATCACGTATCAGATCTTTGACCTTGCCCAACCCCTCCTGATTTTTCCGGGCTTGGGACCGGCAGTAGCCCCGAAGATTCTATTGGCGGAGTTAGGAGAGGGCATGTAGGGTAATATAAACTTCAGATTAAGACAGTCAACAAATCAAAACACTTGTAGTACATTAGATTGTAGTGCCTCCACATATATTCTAGTTCGCTTACATCTAACTTGGTTAAGCCCTTTCAATTAATTCATTTAACCAAGCCATTTGCATTGCAACAATTTATATGTACCATTCGTTCTTATTATTGTCTGGTTTGTATGAACTCATGTGACATGTTCCACTTGTCATTTGACCTTGTCAACTATTCATTCGCTTCCTTCGCCCATTCGTTCGCATTGTCATCCAAGGAGTTGGCTCAACAGCCTTCTCCAATTCACGTCGCTTCATTCGTCTAATTCGCTGCTTCTCCGCTTTGCTTTGTGGTGTGGCCCAAATAAACGTATTCATCACTTTGTGTTCATCTTCTGATTTATAAACCGTCAGATGCTATTTAGTAACGATTGTATGTACGAGCTAATTACCGAGTTTAAGAACACGCAGTAAATCGACACACTACAAATGGTGTGCCCAACGTCGAAACGACATGCTACAACATAATTATTTAAATGTTCCACTAAAGTGAATTATTTTGAAAATAAGTGGAAAAAATTAAACCACACAGACACACACACACTGTGTGTGTGTTACTACTTCTTTTTCTCACTTACCTATGAATTCTATGCAACATAATACGATAGGCACCAGTGACAGCACATCGTGTTGCATAATTATGCGCATTTTGTATTTCATCTGTGGTAATGCCTAGATTGGATAGTAAATAATTGGTTGCTTCTAATTCAGCATCATCTTGATCATTGTTCAATGTTTGTTGTGGTGAGGATGATGGTGATGGTGGATGTCGAACATTGAATTCCTTCTCGTTCAATGTTCCAATGTTGGTTTGATTATCATCTACAGTGATTGGTGGTTGATTTTGAATGTGATTGGACAATGTCATTGAATGATTATTGGATGAATCAGTTTTATCAACTGAGTTATTTTTATTTAGTTTACATTCGTATGAAGATGAATTTAAAAGATTTTGTTTGATTTGTGGCATTGTAGGAAGCTAAATTAAATTATCAATAATAAAAAAATTAGATTATTCTTAAAAGTTTTTTTTTTAAATACAAACTGATTCATTGAAAATTCGAAAGTGTTGAACGGTTGTTACATTGTCTTATTAGTATATGACTTCTCAGCAGAGAGTGTTTTTGACCTTACAAGTTGGAATCGATCCTACTGTAGTGAACGAGAACAGAGGTGAGGGCAACCGAATTGTATTTAACGAAAATTACAGAGTTACTCAGTAAAATAGGAAAACCATATCGTAAATCGTTAATTTGCAAAATATCAGTCCATCATATCGAACTGGACTGTTCCTGTTGCCAAACATCAATCCATTGTCACTATTCATGCGTTTCATACAAATTCCATTGTGTTCTAACTCTTCCTTTCTCGGTCTTCCCCCATCTTCTGCTGTCAGACATTACGTTGACACTCACGTCATATACTACTGTTAAATTCTAGACCACTGAGGTTATGAGGCCATAGTTTTCTTAACATTGAGGATTGACCTCATTTAGTCAGCTACAACGTAGGACTTGGTACGTACGTACATCAGTTCAAGTTGCCATACCACATTAGTATACAGAGACCTAAGTGTCAATTCTAATCCTTCAACAGTAGAAGTAGTAACAGTAATAACGGTGATAGAGAAAATTAGGGTTCGAGGATGTTATTCAAGAAGTTTAGAATCCAAGAAATTTAGAAGATTAAGATTAGAGAGGCGACAAAGAATGTGGTGGTGGTGTTTGGTTCTCTGAGCTGCGGATGTTTTGGTTGTGGAGCTTTCATCAATGTTCTTCTTCTGAACACGTCATCACCACAAACTTCAGATAGAGGAAGTGAAGTATTCGAATTTCTCCACGTTTGACCTGTAGTTTGTTCTGCAAACCTCGATCTTGATTGGTTGCTGTTGACCTGAAAACTGTCGTTGTTTGCGCCTTTGTTTTGATTGTATGTTACCTTCTTGATCTGTTTCTTGATCTTATGTTTGCCTATGGTTTTTTGATTAGTTGATAAACTGGGTCAATGTCGATGTGTTTGACCTGAGTACCAAGCTCCCAAAAGTTCCCATTTTTCCCACATTAGAAGCTTGTCACTCAGGTCGACCAGCGATCATCAAATACATCGACATTGACCTAATTTATCAACCAATCAGGAAAATCATAGATGACATAGGATCAAGAAACAGATCAAAAGGGGGACACAATCAAAACAAAGATGCAAACAACGACAGTTTTCAGGTCAACAGCAACCAATCAAGATCGAGTTTAGCAGAACAAACTACAGGTCAAACGTGGAAAAATTCGAATACTTCACTGCCTCTATCTGAAGTTTGTGCTGATGATGTTGATCAGAAGAACAATGAAAGCTCCACAACCAAAACAAGCAGCTCAGAGAACGAAACACCACCACATTCCAGGACCTGAGCTACAATTCTTCACCACCGCGACAAAGAATGGATGCATCTGCGCCTCTGTAGACGATTTTGACCTCGGTTAGACTCTCTTATCATGTGCATCAGTAACTCCATAAAGAATTGAACCTTGAACTCTGAATGTGATGCGACTATATACGATGAGAGACCACCAATGGACGTCAGGCATTTACACGCAAGACTGAAGGTCCTGGATTTGTGAATCCTGCGAGTGTCACGAGTTATAGATGCACACTACTACTGGTGAGTCCCATAGCAGAAGAAAATAGTCGAACTGTACTTCCACGTTTCTAATGGTTGTCTAATATTGATGCGAAACATGGCCGTTAAGAGTAGATGACATTCGTAAGTTACTAGTCTGCAATCATAGGTGTATCCGAAGCATTGCTCGTGTATCCTGAGACAACCGAGTAAGCAATGCTATCGTAAGGAAACGAGTTCTAAGTGCGGATGGCAAATCAATAGATGAAGCATTGAAACTTCATCAGTTCAGGTGGTTGAGACATATATTACGTATACTTAACCACCGACTGCCTCGACGAACTATGTTTTGTGGTGTAGGAGTAGGTCAGACGAAAGCTAGGGGCGGCCAAACCAAACCATGGCAGAAATTCATGAAGTCACTGACAACTGGACTGAGTCATGTTGGTAGATGTAGACTACCTGGTTGGGGTCCGCGAGACGACAGTCACCAATGGTTAGAGACTTTGTGTTCTCTCAAATTCTAACCTTCTGAATTCCTCATAATCTCTACCTTTCTCCTGCTAAATTTATCTCACTGAATTATACTTCTCGAATCATATCTTCGCTCCCTAATCTTCTCCATTACTGCTAATGCTTCTATTATCGCTATCACTCTTGGATTTGAACTGACATTTGCGTCTCTGTGTTGATGTGGTATAGCAACCTGAACTGATGTACTTACGTACGAAGTTCTGCGTTGTATCTGTCTGTCTGTCTGTCTGTCTAATATTGATCATTGATTCGTGATTTCAATAGAAAAAAAGAAACCAACTAACCAATCAAATAAAACAAAACAACTAACCGGTGGACAATGTTTGAATCGTGGCAATGATTTTGGAAATATTTGTCCAGTTAACCAACTTGTCCAAGTTGTTCGTTGACGTAGAACCATTTCAATTGGTGTTAAATCTTTCCGGGCATATTGTGCATATTTAATTAATTGTGATGCGGTGGGTCGTAGATCCGGTTGACGTGCTGTTAAATTCCGATATAAATCATTTGCTGCAGGTGATAAATTATCCGGGAGTTGTAAACCACAATTTGTTAAGATTAAACGTCGAACTTGTCCAACTGTTGTACCATTGAATGGTAATAGACCGGTTAACATGAAAAATAACACGATACCAAGTGCCCACATATCTACTGGTCCACCATGATAACTGAAAAAAATTATAACAAACAATAACAGATAAGATATTTGCTATTTCTTCGGAATCATCAAACGATCAGTGGTAAACTGTCATTAGAAGAAACCTGGAAGTGCTGGACAGCTGTTTCGTTCTGTCATGGAACTCATCAGTAGTGGGCATCTACCAATCCGGAGTTCGCACGCAAGACTCAAGGTCCTAGATTTGAATTTTGCGAATAGGTGGAGTCATGGATACGCACTACTGATGAGTCCCATATTGGGGTGAAACGGTCATTCAATGCTTCTGAGTTTCTAATACTGGTCTAATATTGATCGATTCATGAATTCAAAGTAAATTAATAATTTGCGCAATCCTATTTATGTTCCAAAAGAATATGATCAGAACTAGTGAATATTCGGATGAGTTAAACTATGATGTTGAAATAAGTCTTCAGATGAACTGTTTGAAGACAATCTTTAACGTACCTTGTGATTATCGACAATAAACATCTTTTGATAGTGAAAATCATGAACTAATCATAGCTGAATCAGCATTAGAAACTTGGAAGCATTATATAGGTGTTTCGTCTTAGTATGAGACTCTTCGGAAGCATGCATCTGTGAGCCCGCAACCGAGAACCTAACTTCGAGCTGTCGGTCATATGTGCGAAGTCTTAAAATCTACACTCGTGGTTTCAAATTGTGGAAATAATACAACCTCTACAAATCCCGTCGGCTAATAACTATTATTTGCTCAAGATGTATTCCAAGAGTTCCGATAGAAAACTGTGAACAGTGGCGTTCCATTTGTTTTGGGTTGGAGAGTGTTAAGTGTCTCTGGTGATAAATGACAGTTGTACAAGACCACAAATTGACTAAGATTGGATATTAACACAAGTGGATGCCGGCTCAGTGGTCTAGAGGTAAAGTGCTCGTGCAAGAGACCAATAGTGTTGGCTTCGATTCCCATATACAAGGATCTTGGATAAGTACTAGTGAGGCTTCCAATAGGGGTCTAGCTGAGATCAGTCTGCAATTTCAACTACGAGAATAATACAATCTTCACAAAGATGTGTGACTCACAGCTTGTTTTGCTGACCTCGGTCTTGATTGGTTGCTAGTGACAACAATAGGTTTAAGCTCAAGAACAACCAATGAAAGCCGATGCGAACAGAACAAGCTACGGAGCATATGTGGAGAAATTCGAATACTTCACTCCTGCTATCTGAAGTTTGTTCTGCTGATGATGTTGTTGTTCAGAAGAAGAACAATGAAAGCTTCACTAACTAACACATTCAGCTCAGAGAACGACATCACATCACAGTCATCCACGAGGAGTTGCAAATTTTCTCCGCCATCTCATTTATTCACTGATTGACTGATCAACAAACTGAATATAACGTAGACGTAACAAAGATCTATTGAGATTTGAAATTCAGAGTAATGGTTACTCTGTTTGTGAGGAGAGGAATCGACCTCTTAATATCCTGAGAAACTCAACTTTCATCACATGGCGTCATCAATTTTCTAAATGAAGACCTTCCGACGCTCAGAGCCGAGTTTTACTGGTTTGAATTAATGTGTCTGGTTAAAATAGAAGGTCAAGACAGTTCTACTGTATAGAGCGGAAACCTGTAGAACTACGAAAGACATCATCCACAAGATACAAGTATTCATTAACAGTTATCTACGCAAAATACTTAGGATTTGTTGGTCAGATACTATCAACAACAACCTGCTGTGAGAGAGAACAAACCAGATTCTAGTGGAGTATGAAATCAGGAAGAAGCGGTGGAAGTGGATAGGACACACACTGAGAAAAGCACCCAACTGTGTCACAAGACAAGCCCTCACTTGGAGCCCTCAAGGTCAAGGGAAAAGAAGAAGTCCAAGAAGCATATTACGCCGAGAAATAGAGAAAGATATGAGAGGAATGAACAAACATGGGACAGAACTGGAAAGGAACGCCCAGGACAGAATTAGTTGGGGTAACAGGCGTAAGTAAGTAGTTTTCAAAGGAATAGGGTTGTGAATCCCATGTCTAACGCCTTTCTTTTATCCAGGCCTGAGACTGACAGTAACCCTGGAACATCTTCAGGGAGAGTTTTCTAAGTTATCACCACCTCAATGTTTGTACGGATGTAAACAGAATTATTTTATCATTCAATTATTTTTAGTAATTGGAAAACAACTTTCCTTAATTTTTTAATAGTAATCAATATTTTCTAGAAACTTCCGCTATCGATTTTTTCTAACTTATGTGATATTAACAACAGTTTAGTTCAATTTATTTCATAGTTTTAACGAATTAAAAAGTCTTCATCTATCTGATCCTAGAGGTTCGGCGTTCGTGTAGGAGAGCTAATTTCCTGGGTTCGGTATCCGCTTGTGGAGGTCGTGGATAGGGCACTGTTGATCACCGCCATACTCAGGACGAAATGGCCATTCAGTGCTTCTAGGTTTTGCCAATGTCCGGTCTAACATTGCTGACCGATTCATGATTTCAGAGGAAAGTTCATTTTCAACATTAAAAAGTAATTAAAAAAATTGCAACTTTAATTCAACACACACAAACACACATACACACGCACATACTATTTCGATTCAAATAATTCCGGTGCAGCGTAAGCTGGTGATCCACAAAATGTGGTCAGCTTTTGATTGGATTCTTTGATGAGTTTACTAAAACCAAAATCCACTAATTTCACCCGATAATAATCTGGGCATAAATCTGGAAAAAAAACGATATCAATTAGAGAGAGAGACAAAGACGTTGAACTAGAAATTACAAATATAAAATTGGTTTTTGTATTCACAAATTATAGAGATATAGTGGAACGCTTCTACAAAGAAAATACAATTTGTGCTAAATAAACATTATTGTACTCGTTTTGTTTAACTGTACCAAAAACTCTTTTGGCGCGCAACGTTCTTTTCGCGTTGCTGCCGTTTTTTCTAAATGCGCTGCTCCCCATGTAATGCCTACTCTCTCCTTCAATAAAAAACCTTGGAACATGGATTTATTTTGATTTAAATGACGGGATAGTATGGAACATTTGGTGGTGATCATGGTCAATCTGATATCTCTCACCACTAAACAGATCATTGGACACATCGAAATCCTGATTTGATCATCGTTAGATTTAACATTAAAAAGAAATCTGAAAGCAATGGACGTGAGAAGTTCAAGTCACGTGAGAAGACTTGACTAGTGCAGTTCAACCCCCTGTGTCGGATGTAAGCAGTAAGTAATCTGACGAAGATAATGTTTGAGGTTGCGCAATATCTGAGATGGAGTTTAACATTGTTGGATGGCCGTTCTGTAGTCCAGATGTTAGGCGTTCGTACGCAGGACCGAAAGTCCTTGGTTCAAATGCTGCGAATAGCAGGAGTCGTGAATGTGCACTGCTGACGAGTCCCATACTATGACAAAACGGACATGCAGCGCTTCCAGGTGTATAATGTTGGATCTAACAATGATTTAATCACGATCTCAATACAAAATATCAAATAATAATGATAATCATCATTATTGAGACACTGAATGTCTAGTGTTGTGTTAGTCAATCTAGAAAATTTGAATCTAAGATTTTTTTTCTACTAACTGACATGTTGTCAGTTAGTAGGCGAACTGATATTACCTGTGAAATGTGTAATCCAAGCAGCTAATCAGTTATCGATCAGTATAAATAACTCAGCAGTATTATCGCTTACATTGTGCTGTTGTAACAATGTGAGTCCATGTTTTCTGTGGTAAAAATGAATTCTTGTCTAAACCTCAGATATTTCATTCGGATAAGTATCATGTAGTATGAAATGTAGATCTAGGATTTCATGTTAACTTTTCTGGATCATTTAAGGTTATGTGATATTCAGCCGTTTAGATGAGTGGCCATATCTTCACGTGATCCATAGAATTCAATCAACACAACGAACTAGACATTAATTACTTGTCAATAGTCGTTCAATTGTAATCATGATTTTGATCTTTTGGTAAGACTATGATTTATTGATGAGCCAGTCAAGTTTGAGATAAGTCAACCAGTCAATTACAACCTAGAACGTCGTAAGTACGTGCATCAGTTCAAGTTGTCATACCATATTGAAATAGAGATGTAATTGTCAATTCGAATCCCATAGTGGTAGAGTTAATAGAAGTATAAACAGTAAGCGGAAAGATTAAAATTTGAAGATATCATCCAAGAATTATAATCCTGTGAAATAGATTTGAGAAGAGAAAGATGAAGGTCTTGAGGAATTCATATTAGAATTTAGGGGCAACACAAAGAGTGGACGCACCTGCGCCATTGCAAACCATTTTCAGCTATGTCACTCAGAGTCTCTAACCATCGATTATATTAATCCCCAACCAAGCTGTCGACACCTACCAACATGACTCATTCCAGATGTCAATGACTTCATGGATTTGTAACATGTTTTGCTTTGGCCATCCCCTAGCTTTCTTCTAGACTACCCCTACACCGTAAATCATAACATGTCGAGGCAGTCGGTGGTTGAACATTCGTAACACATGTCCTAACCATCTCAACTGATGAGGCTTCAATGCTTCATCTATTGATTTGCCATCCTTACCTAGAACCCGTTTCCTAATAACAGCATTGCCTAGTCGGTTGTCCCAGGATACACGAGAAACACTTCGGAGACACCGATGATCGAAAACAAGTAACCTACGAATATCTCCTACTCACACTGGCCATGTTTCACAGCCATAATGTAGGACGGAGCGAACTGCTGCACAGTACACTCGTCCTTTAGTCAGCAAACGGATATTACGCCTACGCCATAAAAGACGCAAGTTGGCAAAAGCCAATCAAGGTTTCTGTTTCCGTGCTGAGATTTCGTCAGTCACTAGACCATCGGCACTGATGAGACTCCCCAGATAAGTGAAGCAGTCAACACGCTCGACTACTCTTGCATTGTAGCTTAGAGTAGTGAGAAGACTCTGCAGTTTGTCAGCGTCTTCACCGAATAGAACTATGTCATCGGCATATTTTAGGTCAGTAAGCGATTTTCCTGGTAGAAGGTTTACTCCTGAGAATTCATACGAAAATAATGTTATATCTAGCAGCATATCTATGACAAAATTAAACAAGAATTGGGAGAGTGGACATCCCTGACGGACACCACTTGAAGTAAACAATGCCAATGACAGTTTGCCATTAGCTCTAACTCGACCTGTAGTGTTCGAGTAGAGAGCTTGTATAAGGTTAATATACTTTGGTACACCTTTCAATGACAGACTCTGCCAGAGAACGTGATGATCAACAGAGTCAAATCAAAGAGTCATCAGTGATGTCATTACGTGACGAAAGGCTTAACTGTTTTTGATTCCTAACTGTAACATCTAACTATAAATCTTATTCCCAAATCATCGCACTAATTCAGAACACTCTTATAACCCCCGTGGTAAATTGTTGAATATTCTCAAGTTCATTTTGACATCACTCAAAGGTTGTTCATCAGAGTTATACTCTCATCGATCATCTGTTCCTTGTACAATTTGTTAATGATTTATAACGGACATCATCTTTTAATGGTAATGTGTATTACAAGGTACAAAATTACTCTTGATACACCTGATGGAGCATAGGGGTAACCGACCAATGAATTCCTTTTCTAGTTGCCATTTTTGTAGTTTATTGATTTGCTACAAGATGCGGTAGCTAACTCCAACCGCTTCCCTCCTCCTTCATTCGAGCTTGAGACCGACAGTAACTCCGTAAGGGCTCCAGTTCTTACAACATACTACATACACTACAATGTTTACTCTTATCAGATTGTGTTCGCTCTTGAAATATAAAAAGTTTACTTTTAAAGTCCCATATTCTCTCTTTTTTTACTTCTATTCGCTAGTGATTATTGAAGTATTGTGGTATATTATTCATGCTAAGTCCCAAATCATGTTAAGAGCATCATGATGTTTACTTATGATAATTAGAATGATGAGAATGCCAGTAGAGAAAGATGTTATGGGAATTATACCCCGTGCTAATAAATGATCGTTTCATTTTGTTTAGAAAAATTCTGTTCAACAGTGTGTGTTAAAATCTGTTCATAATCTTAACATTGGACATTGAACACATCAATTCAATTATCAATACATTGGCATGAATAGTAGTAGACTTAGTTTGGCATGATTCTTTATCTGTCGTCTGGGTGAATTTTTGAGCTATCTGTTTTTTTAAAAATCTAAAATTACCTCAACAAGTTATGTCTGTTTATTGGTTTTAATGAACACGTCATTTATGTCTGTTAATCGTATCTATCACCTAATCAGCCGCCTCTATATAAAGTTTATTAATAAATTCTCTAATTCTAAGATTCATCTTGTTCAAGGTTACTTAAAACTTTTGAAAATTTGTATAGAATTTCAGAAAATATAGCCAATAAAGGAATCCAGAATATCCGTCTCGTTCTATTTAAAACTTGTCAGCTGGATGTCTCCGTATCTTGATAATCTGTATAGATTGATCAATATGCCGACGAAGATTGATCAATTTTTAGAGAAATTATCAACAATGGAATAAAGCGAACCATTTCAAATTGAATTAAAACCTCATATCTATGGCACAAATGAATAGTTGTCTAGATACTACGGCATTTGAAATAAACTTTACTGTGTTTGAATCTCTTAGGTGCACATCAACTCTGGGATGTGGCAAGTTCTAAACAGGTCAAGAAAGCGCTTCTTAAGTTCAGTTGCTCGCTACCTTCATTCTCTTCTATTTAAACTTGTGTCATAATCGCTTTGTTGCCATAATCTTCATAAGATGCCCATATTCCACCCATCATCATCATCCACGGCAACTTAGAACTGCGTACGTACGTACATCAATTCAAGTTGCCATAACACGTTAGCACAGAGATGCAGTTGTCACTTCAAGTCTCATAGTAGTAGAGGTAGTATAAGTATTAGCAGTAATCGGAGAGATAAGGGTTCGACGATATTATTCAAGAAGTAAAGTTTAGTGAAATAAACTTGAAAAGCAAAAAGATGAAGGTGATGAGGAATCCGGAAGGTTAGAATTTGAAAGGATACAAAGAATAAATGCACCTGAGCCATTGCAAACGGTTTTGAGCCATATCATTCAGGATCATGATAAAAGTCGAGTTCCTTCAGAAGTCAGTGTGTCAGCCCACTACTCGCTACATTCATTGTGTTGTATATATAAGCTTGTGTTATAATCGCTCTATTCCGATGATCTTCATAAGATGCCCATATGCCACCCATCATCATCAACAGAAACGTAGAACTTCGTACGTACGTACGTACGTACATACGTCAATTCAAGTTGCCATAACACATTAGCACAGAGATGCAATTGTCACTTCAAGTCTCATAGTAGTAGTGTCCAACCACCAACTATCTCGTTGAGCGATGTTCTGTGTTGTAGGAGTGTAGTGAAGGATAACACAGGTGAGGGCAACCGAATTGCATTTAACGAAAATTACAGAGTTACTCAGTAAAATCGGAAAGCCATATCGTAAACTGTTAATTTGCAAACCATCAATCCATTGTCTGACATTTCACTGTTCATGCGTTTCATACAAATTCCATTGTGTTCCCACTCTTCCTTTCTTGAACTGCCCCCATCTTCTGCTGCCAGACATTACGTTTTCACTCGCGTCACAGTAGAGGTAGTATAAGTATTAGTAGTAATCGGAGAGGTTAGGGTTTGACGATATTATTCAAGAAGTAGAATCTAGTGAAATGAACTTAAAAAGCGAAATGATAAAGTAGATGAGGAATTTTGATGGCTAGAATTTGAGAGAATACAAAGAATGAATGTATCTGCGACATCACGAACGCTTTTGAGCCATGTCACTCAAGGTCATGGTTAAAGTCGTGTCAGTTCAGAAGTCAATGTGTCAGTCAGTGAAAAGACAGTGCTCCTTCTGACAACCAGAACCCTTCCATGGTGAGAGAAGCCGTTAATTAACGTCCACCCTCATACCCTCATAAAATCACACAACACCAAATTAGTCATAATCAAAGATCGTTTAAATTCCAGTCGATGAGAGATAATCTAGAATCATTTTTTTTAAATTGTTTCAAATAAGAAATCACAATTAAACTAACCATTTAAATTCTCATCCATTGCATCAATTTCAATAGAATTAGATTTATGCAACTGGTGTTGTTGTTTCTTATTACTATAGGCATTCAATTTCTTGCCATCTTTATTCAATATTCGAATTGGTGTATTATTGCGTGATTGATTATGCATTATTATTGGTGAATCACGTTCAATTTTCAATGAATAATGATGATGCGGTTGACGATTGGTCACTTTTGATGTTGACATGTCATTTTTATGCGATGAATGTGATCGATGATGAAAATGTAATAATTTGTGCATTTTACTAATAGTTCGACGATTTTCATGTTGTTCTATTGTTGACTGATGATTCGATTGTAGTTTGCCAGTGTTTTCTTTCATAATGTTGATGGGTGTTGTTTTAGATTTCAATGTTTTCATTGGAGTTTGGCTAATTTGTTTAAAATCATATGCGAATAGAATATTTTCGGCTTTAATATCTCTATGTATGATATTACGTTCATGCTATGAAAGGAAAAATGGGATAGATGAAACAAGTACACATCATTATACATGCATAAAGATATCATTAAAATTGTGGGTTGGTGTTTAGGTTCTTTGAACTGTGGATGTTTTGGTTGTGGAGGTTTCATCATTGTTCTTCTACTGAACAACATCGTCATCATCAGCAAAAACTTTAGGTATAGAAGAAGTGAAGTATTCGAATACTACTCCATAGGACAAAGTGGACGACCTCGTCAGCTTCGTTCACGTGGGCACCAATTAACAGTCAAACGCCACGACAATTCTTCGCTTAAATCAACACATACGGACAGGTATGGACATACATTAGATTGAAACAATGTGGAAATACTGGGTAGGGGGAGGACAAAGAACGCTAGAGAATAATTAGAAGCTTGGCAGTCAGGTCAATCATCAATCAACATCAACACATCGACATTGACCCAATTTATCAACCAATCAGGAAAATCATAGGTGACATAGAATCAGGAAACAGATCGAAGGGAGATACAATCAAAACAAAGGTGCAAACAACGATAGATTTAAGGTCAACAGCAATCAGTCAAGATCGAGATTAACAGAACAAGCTACAGGTCAAACTTGGAGAAATTCGATTACTTCACTTCTTCTATACCAGAAGTTTGTGCTGGTGATGTTGTTCAGTAGAAGAGCAATGAAAGCTTCACAACTAAAACAACCAGATCAGTGAAGGAAACACCACAACAATCCTCCACATGAGCTACAAATTTTCTCCACCATCTCAAAATATCATTATAAGCAAAGATTGTGGGTGATTAGTGGTGGAATCCAAGAGGCGTGTTTCATCCTGTTTGAGACTTATCTTTGTCTGATTATATCTGCTACATCTCACAGTTGATGTCCACTCCAGGGTTGTAACCTAGAACCTAGTTCGTTTTAAACATACTGTCATGTTATCTACTCAGCTACTGCGGAGTAGAGATAACTACTAGTTTGTGCGATAGGGTGAGTTTTAATTCATTTATATTGGCTGTTTCAGTCGTCTCATCGATACCGGTGAATTAGGATGAAACACGTGTCTTGCATCCCACTGCTGGCCACCATCTATCTGTGCTCATACTGATTGTAATTTAACAGCAATACCGAGGTAATCTGCACAGGATGTGCCAAGAAGAGACTGATCAAAGTTTAAGGAAAAGATTTCAACAACCAGTACGAAATATTAAGTAAATAATTTTATTCACTGTAAATAAAACCGAATAATTTTAACATAGTTTTGGTTGGTAAATGAAGCTAAGCGTAATTTGTTTCTGCTTATTTGGCTATTGAACATTGAATAACTAATATGATTGACAGTCAGATCGATGAGATTGAAAATATTCTCAATCATCGACTTCTTGAGAGCCTGTGGAGGCTTCTAGGAGTCATACTAACATTAATACACATCAGGTAAATGCATAAATTTCTAGTGAGAGTGAGTGAGTTAGTAATGCATTACTAAGTTTCACTCCTTTTGTTCTCAGTGTTAAAGTTTATAATTACAGAATTATACTACTCAAAAGAGTAGTTCAAGAATTACAACATAAAAATAAAAAGAATTCAAAGTCAGCATGCCATCAATTTACGCCTTGACTGGACTTTCAGAAACGATATGTGCAACCTCTCATCTTTGCCTAGCCTTAATTTGCTGTTCTAATATGTACTTGGGTTTGCTTAGCTTTTATGATTATTATTACTTGTATTGTTAAGCAGTAAATGGGTGAATATTATCCCCCCGTCAATTTTCATGATTGTGGAGGTGTTTCATGCTCTAAGCTGAATGTTTCGGTTGTGGAGCTTTCATTGTCCTTCTTCTGAACACAACTCGATCACCACAAACTTCAGATAGAGGAGAAGTGAGGTATTCGAATTCCCCCACGTTTTATCTGTAGCTTGTTCTTTTAACCTCGATCTTGATTGGTTGTTTTTGACCTTAAACCTGTCGCTGTTTGCACAAACAACAGAGGTGCGACAAAGGTGAAAAGAACGACAGGTTTAAGGTCAACAACAACCAATCAAGATCGAGGTTAGTAGAAAAAGCTACAGATCAAACGTGAGGAAATTCGAATACTTCACTTCTTCTATACCTGAAGTTTGTGGTGATGACGTTGTGTTCAGAAGAAGAACAATGAAAGCTCCACAACCAAAACATTCAGTTCAGATAACAGAACTCCATAACAATCACCAACCTGAAGTACCAATTTTCTACATCACAAAAACTTTCATATCTGTCAATGATCTCTCACATAATATTGTAGAGATAGTTGAGCATCACTGAAGTCATGGATCACCCATTGATATCAGACCACCAATAAAAAACTTGTGGGATTGGATGGTCATTTCATCCTAGTATGGGACTGACTTATCTGAAGTTCGCATCCACGATCATGCTTAAACCGAACTCAGGACCTTATCGTGCACTAATGCTTAACTTCTGAACCAATGAACTAGCGGTGGTAATGTCTACACTTCAATCAATCTCTTATATTATAGCTTGACTTTTAAATTATACTAATATTTTTTTCCAAGTCTTGGATCATAACGTAGTTTCCTTTTGAAATTTGAACTTTCCGATCGGTTTATTATCCAATCTCCCTATTAACTTTCTGTAGAATTATAAATATTTATTGAGCAAAATTAGAAATACAAATAAATGGTTTTATCGAAAATTAAAAAATATTCTGACTTGACATTTTATTTCATTTTTGTTGAATGACACATCAGATTACTTATAATTACTAAGTAGTCTGTTTTGACTTCGTGCAAATATTCAAGTAAACATCGGACATTAATCTGTACATACTATGAGGAGATCGGATCATAGCTATGTTATTCATGTTGGTCGGTCAGTTACAGCGTAGAACTTCGTACCTACGTAAATTAGTTCAGGGTTCCATACCTCATTAGCACAGAGATATAATTGTCAATTCAAATCCAATAGTAGTAAAGGTTGTCGAAGTACTGGCAGTAATCGGAGAGATTAGGATTAGTAGATATTATTCAAGATATATAATCTAGTGAAATAAACTTAAAAAGAAAAAGACGAGTTGTGATGATGAATCCTCGAGGTGAGGACTTGAGAGAATACAAAGAATGAATGCATCTGCGCCATTGCAAATAGTTTTAAGCCATGTCATTTAAGGCCTCTAACCTTGACCTTTAACTTGTCATTGTCTGTTTCTTTATTTTGATTGTATCCCCTTTTCATTTGGTCATACTTAAAGTCGATACCACTGGCTACAATTCATCTATGGAGAAATTCAAATAATTCACTTCTACTTGAAATGACTGGTAGATGATATTCATGTAGACGAAGCTTTTCAACTCCATAACCAAAAACATCCAGCTTCAAGGGAACAAAGCTGCATCATAATTATTGTATGTGACTGAAAATGGAGTATTGTAGAATGTGTAACTCCGCTTCAAGCCCTTCTCGAAGTTACTGTCAGTCTCAAGCCCAGATAAAGTAGAATGGTTGGTGGTCATGGAGTTAATAACTCCATCTCGTCGATAATCAAGTTGCTAATTCACAAAACCTACATTTTCTGCACTAACAGTGAGTTCAAAACAGTGGTTCCCTTTGATAAATTTGAACAGAGAAATGAGAAGACATATTTTGTGAGATAGTACCATTTCGTGCTTTCTCCTCAGTCACATACAAGCAACATGTTATTTGTGTAAATACAGTTTTGAAGATAAGGTCAAAATTTCTTATTTAGCATGACATGCACTCACTAGAACCATGGTATACAAAGGTTAACATACAGTTGTTTTTGAACACATAAAGTTAGACTTTTCCCACCAATCAAGATAGCTTCGAGTAGTTTCAGTGTGTGTGGGTTTTGATGACATGTCACAACTTTAAAGGCTGATTTTGGGTCAATTTGATGACCACTCATCATTAGATGTTTTGCAATGGACGAGGCTGGGTTTCTTGATCGATTTTGAAATGATGGGCTAGGTTGATTAATCATGGATTTGATTAACCATTTTGGAATATGTTCCCCTATCCTGTCTTCCAATCGGCGATCTGTCCTCCCTAAGTAACTTTCTCCGCAGTTACATGTGAATTGGTAAATACAGTGGGATTTGGACTGAATCGGTCTTGGAGACTTGATTGGGGTAACTGAGATCGATTGGGTTGTTGAGATAAGCCTCAGATTAGCTGCATTGAAGGTCTTTTTTATTGCAGCTGCAGTCTGGTTGGTTGTAATTTTCATGCAATGATCAACCTTGAAAGGTAACTGTAGGTACACTGGTTTCTTGGGTACATCAGTTGCTATCAGCTTCGTCGTACTTGTGTTCTGATGACCAATAAACGTTTCGGGATATCCGTTTGATTTAGATGTCTCAATAATAAGCTTGAATTCGTCGTCCAATGTATCAACAGTGCAGATTCTACTTGCTCGAGCGAATAAAGTTTTGACAACAGAACGTTTATATTGTATGGGGCAGAAACTAGTGAAGTGGAGGTACTGTCCCGACCAGGTGGGTTTGCGGTGTACTTTTCGTCTGATTGATCCGTCTGGACGGCGATGGAGCAGGATATCGAGGATAGCTAGTTCATTATTTTTTTCTTCCTCATAAGTAGTGACTTTCAGATTCGGGTGAATCGCATCAAATAAATCATTGATTTCATTAATTTCTGTAGAATGTTGTAATATGACAAGAATATCGTCGACATATCGTTTGTAAAGTGTAATACCATCGATGAAGTGACTCACTTGCCTTTCTATCATTCCCATGAATATGTTTGGTAAAACAGGTCCGAGAGGGCTTCCCATAGCCACTCCATCGATTTGTGCATATGCTTTACCTTGGAAATAGAATTTTATGTTCTTTGTGCACAGCAAAATTAGATGTCGAAGATAACAGCGAGTTGACAAGTGTAGTTTTCGAATATATTTGAATGATACCATAAATAATGAACAAAATATTTTATTGAACATCAAAATAAAAACTAAAATTGTTGAAACATTGAACTTACTAAATGATTCACCGCCGCAATTAATTGAGCAAAAACAATTCTTGCTTCTGGTTCACTTAATTTACCATATTTAATAATTCTATGATTTAAATCTCCACCAGCTACATATTCCATAACCAAATTTAAATGAGAAAATGTTTCAATTACCTTTGAAAATGAAAAAAAATTATTTAGTGAGAATTTTTTGTTGAAATATGTATAAAGTTTGATCAGATAAAATTACATATATTTTAGTCAACTGAAACATTTGATGTCAGTCAGTCAGATGCAACGTAGAACTTCGCACGTAAGTACATCACTTCATGTTGCCATTCCACATTAGCACAGAGATGTAATTGTCAATTCAAATCCAATAGTAGAAGAGGTAGTAAAGGTATCAGAAGTAGTCGGAGAGGTTACGATTAGAAGATATTATTCAAGAAGTATGATTCAGTGAGGAAAAATTAGAAAGTCAAAACTAGAGGGGTTGAAGAATCCAGAAGATTAGGATTTGAGAGAACACAAAGAATAAATGCACCGGCGCCATTGAAAACGGTTTTGAGCCATGTGATTCAGGGTCTCTAACCATCAATTATTATCATCTCGTGGACCCCAACCAGGTAGTCGACAAATACCATCATGGCTAAGTCCACTTGTCAATGACTTCATGGATTTCTGCCATGTTTTGGTTTGGCCGCCCCTAACTTTCTTCCAACCTACTCCTACACTACAAAACAAAGCTCGTCGAGGCAGTCGATGTACTTGTTTAAAAATCATTCTATCTGTCGAAATAAACTACGTATGTGTTTGAGTTACATGAGATAACTGTAACCGATGATTTGACACTTTGAATGATAACATAGCTCGAAAGTGTTTACAATGACGAGGGAGGATGCGTTCATACTTTTTGGCCTTCTCTAAAAATTCTAATCTGAATTCCTCATAACTAACTGACAAACTGACCTATGTAGATCTGTTTGATTCCGTGAACTGTCCTTGCTTTTCCAGAGTGAAGTAGTCGAGCGTGTGGATCGCTTTACTTATCTGGGGAGTCTCGTTAGTGCTGATAACCTGGTGACTGAAGAAATCTCAGCTCGGATACAGAAAGATCGATTGGATTTTGCCAACCTGCGTCACTTATGGTGTATGCGTGATATCCGTTTGCTAACCAAAGGACGAGTGTACTGTGCAGCAGTTCGCTTGGTTCTCCTATATGGCTGTGAAACATGGCCAGTCAGAGTAGAAGATGTTCGTAGGTTACTAGTATTCGAACATAGATGTTTAAGAAGCATTGCTGTCTTTAGGAAACGAGTATTAGGTAAGGATTGCCATCAATCGATGAAGTGGTGAAACTTCATCAGTTGAGGTGGTTGGGACATGTGTTACGTATGCCTAACCACCGACTGCCTCGACGAGCTATGTTTTGTGGTGTAGGAGTAGGTTGGAAGAAAGCTAGGGGCGGCCAGACCAAAACATGGCAGAAATCCATGAAGTGAGTGACAAGTGGACTGAGTCATGTTGACAGATGTCGACTACCTGGTTGGGGTCCGCGTGACGAAAGTCACTAATGGTTCGAGACCTTGAATGACATGTCTCAAAATCGTTTGCAGTGCGCAAGTGCATCCATTCGTTAAGCTCTCTCAAATCCTAATTTTCTGGATTCGTCAGCACCTCTACCTTTGTCTTTCTAACCTTGTCTCACTGATTTATACTTTTTGAATAATATCTTCAAACCCTAGTCTTCTTTATTACCCTTAATACCTCTACTCTCTTTATCACTATGGGATTTGATTTGACATTTGCTTCTCTGTGCTAATGTGGTATGGCAACATGAACTTATGTACATACGTACGATGTTGTACGTTGCAACTGACTGACTGACTTTTCAGAGGATTGATTTATTTCCAGAGCTGTACAATTTTGATTGTATACTTGTTAATACTGTACACCACCTACATAGGTTATTTTATAGATTTTGTGAACAGAATAATTGTTCGTACATATTTCTGAGTTTGTCAATCAGTTGATTTTATCACTTACGGTTCATGTATGTTTATTACCTCCCTATTTCTTTTATCAGTCACATATTTTCAGTGAATTTTTGTCTGACTTTAAATGATGAGTTACACTTTTGTCCGATTCGATTGGTACATTTACTATTTTTCACTTCTCGGTGTGTTGTTTTGCTCCTCATTTAAGAAAAAAATAATCTGTCTGAGTGAATTACTTACACCTTTCAGTCTAACCTACATTTAATATCTCATAACGATTACAATGTGGCACTAATGAGAAGAACATAATTGACGATTCTCTCATTAAATTAGCCTGTTTGATTTAAGTACAGAAAGTCCTTTGACATGATGGAGGAAATTTGTAGCTCTGGTGGATAACTGTTGTGGAATCACGTGGAATCACTGGGTTCGATATTTTAGTTATGAAGCTTGCATTGTTCTTTTGAACAATATCATCAGCACATACTTCAAGTGAAGAAGTGAAGTATTTGAATTTCTTCACGTTTGACTGGTAGCTTACTCGATTGACCTCGATTTTGATTGGTTGTTATTGACCTTAAAGAGACATATCACGACAGTGAAATAATCAATCAATCATCGTTAGATCACTGAAAGACGACCGTCTCGTCCTTGTATCGGATTCATCAGCAGTGCACACCCGTGACTCGTGCACTTCGCACGATTCGAACCCAGGACCTTCGGTCTTGAGCGCGAACGCCTAACCTCTGGACCATTGGGTCGGTATCCATACCAGGACGAAACGGCTGTTCAGTGCTTCCATGTTTCCTAATGGTGGTCTAACAATGACTGACTGATAATTTCAATGTGAAACAAACGCTAATCTTCATAACTCTAATTGGCAGAACGACAAGTTTCAGGTCAATAACAACCAATCAAGATCGAGGTCAACAGACCAAGCCATGCATCAAACGTGAAGGAACGCGAATACTCCACTTCCCTACTGGAAGTTTGTGCCGATGATGCTATCCAGCAGGATCGGTACCAAAATCAGACACCATAAAACAATTGAAGCAAAGGATTCAACGTTTCCATTGTTCAAAATTTTCTAGAAAACATTATTTATAGGATCTTCCAGATCAGTTTGTTTTTGTCTGTGTAAATTTTTGTTTTAAGTTGTTATATTTGATCACTGAACAGGAAGTCATGACTACAATAAACGAGACTGAGGAGTCCGTTTTTTATTTTGAAAAATGAACCAATCTATTCAAACATAGTTACTGGAATTAAATCCAGGATCGACAAGTGTGGCGGGCCTGGATAGGACACATTGAGGAAAGCACCCAACTGTGTCACGCAAGACAAGCTCCCTTAAGGCTAAGGGAAAATAGGAATCCCAACGAACATATTAAGCTGGATAATGGAGACGTACATGAAAACAGCGAATAGCCATCGGATAGAACTTGTACAGAAATTCGAGGAGAGAGTAGGTTAGAGAATACTGGTCTGCCACCTATGCTTCTCTGCATGATTAACTAACTTACAAAAAGTCGAGTACATTTTTAAAGTTCTATCTGATCTTTGTTTTACAGGATCTTTGGAAACCTACAGTATGGTTAATTCACCATTCAAGGCATTTTTAGCGATCGTTTGTTCTTTTCATATTTTGTTGTGAAGTTTCGATTTCATTCTGATTGGATAAAGCATTTTCAATAGTATTCCAGTCCTCTTTAGACTTTCACAAACAATATTTTTGAGTTCTTCAACAAACAACTCTATCCAACACATAATTTTTATGTAAATTTCAAACTTTCACACAAAATTGATCAATAGTTCAATGATAATCACAAAGAACAACTAAATTAAAGTAAATTTTAATTTCTTTTTACCGTTAAATAAAAATAATTTAATTTTAAAATTTAATTGAAAAATAAATAAGTATATAAAAACAACTCATAAAAATCATTGATAAAATTGAACAAAGTAAAATTGTTTAAATTCATTGAACTATCATAATAAAATTCCGCGCTGTTCAAATTTTTTCTAATCTCTCGCTCTCGCGCTCTATTTTTATTGTCCGGGAAGCATTTAAACATTTATGTCAAAATGAAATTTCTCCCTAAAAATAATCATTATTATTATTACTCAATAAAACAATGTTTAGATGCAAAAAATTAACGGTAAACTGTAAACAGTAGAAGAAAAATTTTCATTACATTCAAACAACAACAAACAGAAAAATTCAATTTCAATTTTTTTGTCTCATATTTTTTGGGGTAAGAAATAAAAGTACTTTTATATATTCAAAGTGTATAATTTTTTAATAATGCTTACGATTATTGATGATAAGTGAGTGAGTTTATTTTTTTTTACAGTTTGGAAGAAACCATAACAACCAAGAGTATTGAAAAAACCGCCTATTTTAAAATTTATATATACATATAAATAAGACTAGGCGGTTAGTATGAACACGAGAAGAATAATGTACGAAATAGAGTTTGAAAGAAAGTGGCAGTCGGTAAGTGTTAAAGATAGATAGATAGATAGATAGATAGAGTAACGCGAACTCATACACTCACTCACTCACACACACACTCAAACATACTACACGTATTCATTGAATTGAATGAATAAAAGTGAGTATTCAATAATCAATGGTTGAAAATTGATAAAACTCATAATAATAATAAGTACCGTCATGAATACTTATCATTTTCAGACATTTATGAATTCGATTTCGTACGTGTAAAATAATGTTGATCGGATGAGATTTTTTTAGGTGTGGCTAATAGAAGTATGAATAAGTTGAAAATAAACTCATAAAAAACGTTGTCTAATCTAATAATACTTGTAACTGTGTAAATAATAATTTACTTTGTAAGATTCAACTTTTGAAATAATGACAACTAGTAGTTATCTAATCATAACTATAACTCATTAAAAGACTGGAAATCTTAAGCTAATTAATGAATATTTGAGCTGTTACCTAAAAAGTCGAGCGGTGACATGTTGGACTGTGAATATGCTCAGGTTTGACAGTACGTAATCCTTGTCAGTATTCTTATGTTAACTTGGCCGGTTACCCTTTGTGTAGCATAAGGCGGAGAACAGTATTATCGATCCTACTCTATCCTGCACCTTCTTTCCAGTTCTATCCAATGGGTGTTCATTCTTTTTATGTCTGTTTCCACTTCTCAG